AAGTGCGCTTTCTATAAACTTAAGTTAAACTATAACAGAAAAATGGGCGAAGAAGATAAGACGACCTCACGAGCGATGGGGTTGGCTGGTGGGCATTCTTGGACATCCCCGGGGAAAACGGTATTTTCGGGGGTGGTAGCAAGAGGGTGGATTTGTCTCCAGCGACAGTGGTGTATTGCGTACGAGCTGTTGTAAGCCTCGCATTTTGCGACGAGCTGCAAACTTGGGGCAGAGGGTGGGACATGGACGGTTCAAATTTATCCTATTGGCACGCACACTTAAGCGCAAATGGCCATGTGGTACTTGCAGTCTGCAATGCAATGACAATTCGATTTTGCGAAGGATGCCGAATGTGGTACCATTCTCGTTGTGAGAACCTGTCTCAGTTTTGTATAAGTAAAAAATAAACGGACGTATCACGGATATATTTTTCGGCAGTTGAAATGAGCTTAAATAAAATATATTCGTCTTCTTGTTTTTGAAAAGCTAGCTCATTAAGTCCCTCCCTCATGTGTAAAGTTCGAAACAACCAGGCCTGGGTACGAAACGACCATGTCTGGGTCAGTGAACTGGTCTGGGTACGAAACGACCAGGCCTGGGTACGAAACGACCATGTCTGGGTACGAAACGACCAGGCCTGGGTACGAAACGGCAGAAGTACGAAATGACAAGAGTACGAAACGACCATAAACCTTACGAATAGGTCAAAATATACAGTGTATACACATTTTCTTGGGCATCATTAAAAATATGCAAATACCAGATAATGTAGGGCAATATATTATAATACAACAACTAAAATATAGCTTGTTTAGAGTCTGCACGCAGGCTAGTTTATTGAAGCTGTCGAGTAAGTAATTCGAGTTTGAAATTATCTTTACTCAATATACGTCATATACCTGATGATCTAACTAGAATAGAAGACAACAACTAAAAAATAGCTTTTTTATTGAAGCCATCGAATAATTCGAGTTTGAAAATATCTTTACTGAATATACCTGATTTGAAACGTGACCATCAAAATCGCTGGGAGAAGTAGACGTTATTCGATCCGCTAATAATGCTGCAAGACTGCAGTCTATATTTTCTTCCAAAACAACCAAGGTTAACCAATGGAAGGATTCCACGTTCGATTCTACCAAAGGGGCTTCCCCAGAATATGAAATGATTCATACATAAAATGTTGCAAAATGGTTTCGTTTTGCCGTTTTCACTTTTAAAGCTGCTTTTGTCGGTGAAAACCTCCAAGGATTAACTTGAAACACTCAGCAAGAAACATCACTTTTATACAAAAGACATAAGTTCTTGGAATAACGACGTTTCTTCCTTGTTTATTTTTTAGTTTCTGTTTTGAAATGTAGAGGTACCTTTCTCGCACCGGTGAAAAATACCTAGCACTTACGAAGCGGCTAAAATGTAACATTTGCACTTTTGTTTTCCCAAATGGTAAAATAATTTTCATGCAATATACTTTTTTTATGTTTTGAATGCGAATGGACAATTTTAGGTAAAAAATATAAAATTCTAATCCAATAAGTTTGACCTTTCTGTAGGGATTTTAATCTCGGGGATTTAATTCAGGGTGGAGAATGCCGTATTGTCTGCATATTCCGGCACTGAGAAATAGTTTTCCTGAAACAGAAGGTTCGCTATTAACTTTCACCCTTCAACGGAAATATTTGGGATTCAGGTTCTGCGAACATGTTACAGATTCAGCCGGTTTTATTCAAATTTATTCAAAAATATCGTTCATGGTCACGCGAACGAAATCCATGTTTGGTAGTTTCAGACTATCATTTTTGTATACTAGTTTATACTACATGTGTACGACTAGGGACAACAGTCCTACTAATATATCACCGCCTGGCATATTTGCCCGGATGGAAGAGGTAGCTAATCGGTTATGTCTTTTGATTACGATGATGAATCTCGTTCTTAGACATATATCGTCGTGCTCCAACCAAGTCGAAGTTGTAGCAACATAGGCCACTTTTTTTAAACACATATTGAACAACGACAACAATACCCTTAGGATTGGACAGACAACGACTAACTGAATACAAACTGCCTCCTTCGTTAAGTCTGAAGAAATCTCGCATTTTCCCATTTCTTGAATAAATATTAATTCTTTCATAAAAGCCTCTGGATAAATCCTTGTCTTCGATGCTTTTCAAAACAACAATATCTTCCTCATGTGTACGGTCAAACGCCAGTCCCAGAACTCTAGATTCTACCTCAAGCTCTTCCAGAGGCACCTGAATTATTGGTTCTATCTGTCCTTCGTCTGTGATTGAGCAGATATACACCTTTTCCCCGCCCCGTGTGGTAATCATGACTTCACGTTTGTTTGTAACGCACATAAAAACATCAGATCGTTCCGTACCGTGCCAATGTTTCCCATGAGAACTATCAAATGAAGGCAAGGGGAGCGAACATTCCATATTCAGACGATCCTGAGCGCCCAACGTGAAGACAAACACCTTTCCATAACAATTGCACAAAACGATGTTATTCTCCACCACACGCATGACCCAGCAAGTGTCAGGTTTGGTCAACGAAAGACCCTCGATAATTTAACGACATATATTTGTCCTATCATCCATCGTTAATTTCAAATTTGAAGCTGCTTTCTTTACGTAATCCGCATCAATTACACGATATAAGGTATGAAAATGGTTATTCAGGCTGATATCCACAGACAGAACGACATACCTACGCTTATGCTTTAAAAAAAGCAGCATAGAATTCAATTTCCGATGCCAAGGGATACGTCCTTCGCTATCAACAGCCTCTGGAGAACTGCAAAAAGAGATCCTATCACTGCTAAACTCAACTTTGGGCCATCTTTTTCTCATTTGTTCCCACTCTCTCTTTTCTTTTTTTCTTGAACTTTTTTTTTAATCGTACATGTGTACACAATAATATGTCTCCTCGGCAATTCATTGTCAGTCAGTTGTATCACTGGCCATTTAACGTGACGGGAATGTGCCATTTTCTGTGTAAATTCCAGGTTAAATTCCAATATAAATTCTAGTAAGACGTTATTTATTGCCTTAACGGAATCAACGATCTCACTTCGTTTTATTTTATTAAAGAAAGATTTGAATCCTCCTCTGACGTGAACCGTGAATGTTTGGCGAACAGCTGGTAAGTCGTGTAGTTCTTGAAGATACAGTAAACAGTCCTGAGCGGCAGCTTCTGGATCATTAAGAAACTTTTCAAGAATACTGCTGACAATACGAAGTTTGCAAGCCATTATTAGATCCTCGATGCTCAAAGCCGTGTTACCAAATGCAATTGTTGCTTGTTCTCGCGACTTTCTGAATGATTCCTTCGCATCAGCCCAGCGTTCTTGCGAAACAATTTCAAAAGTTGAAGATGACAAAGCTTCGCCTGCAGGACGTTGTTTTGTTTGCTGAGAGGTTGACGCACCAGCCCCTGCTACAAACTGTTCGGCGGCATCAGTGATGTCTGCCCGTTCATTTTGTTTGCCTGAAGTTGTATTTCGAACAGCCGTTCCCAAACGAGAGATACCCTCTTTTAAAAAGCAGAAACTACTGTTGAGAGGTTGTCTCGACAAACCTCGAAGGCTTGATTTTATTTCGTCAATATCTGAGATGATTTTCTGTCGTAATTCTTCGTCCGTCAGATCTCCATCGCTAAGATAACTGGCTGCCGCACTACGGGCTTTATTAAGGACTAAACCTAACACACTTTTGAGAACGTCCGACATGTCGACTGTTGTGGATCAAATAGCTTGTGTCTTCTTTAATTACGCTTATCGTGATGGAACGTTTCCTACTTTTTCTCAGTAAGCGCTTGTGTTTATAATTATAGTCACGCACGCTATCAAAATAATGGGTCGCTAACATAAAATATTATACTTTTAAATTTTTAAAGCTGTTCTCAACATCTGCTTTCTGTTGAAGACGAAAGCATTTATCAGGCTGAAAAAACGAGCGCCAGATCAGCCGACAATAAACGGCCAGCCTCATGCATTATTCATACATCATTATTCTGACTGGCTGACTTCCACTTTTAACGCCTGTCGCTACGCTAGAATTATAAGTCGATTTCGGGACGTAAACACGGAAATACCCCAGTGTTTTGTGAAAATTATTAATTTGTAATCCATTTATAAAAGGCACGTCTATTTAAAATGTCACGTTGCACTGCAAGCTAATATATATTGAGCGTACGTCATACTGATGTCGATATAAGAACCATAGAGACAACAATTTGAATTTATAGCCGGTATATATAACTCCGTATATAGTCGTCCAATTTGAACGAAATAGTCTACGAACATATTTGAAAACATTCGGGGAAAATAAGGAAATAACAAGTGACTGTGGATTGCGCGTTTTGCAGTGAGCTGTGACCATGATGGTGCTATCAACCATTATTTTAACTAAAATAATGTATTTTTTTATCCATGCAGTGTTCGAAGCAAAATCACAGTCACTTTTAAAGTTTTATAAACATTTGGTTAAAAACTACAAATTTGTTTTGTATGGTAAGTTCAGACTATCATCTTCAGGTATTTATACTACAGAGTACAGTCCTAATACTTCGTGATGTATCTTGATTATGATGATGCTAAATAACTTAATTAAAAACATCTAGTTCATATCGTGGTACTGGTGGTTTACAGATAGGGCGTACGCGAACTTTTCCAACCAAGTTGTAGCAAAATACGACACCTCTTAACGAATATTGAACAACGACAACAATACCCTTAGGATTGGACAGACAACAACTAAAAAATCTTAAGTCTCTTTCGGGAAGTCTGAAGAAATCTCGTAATTTCCCATTTTTTGAATAAATATAAATTCTTTCATGAAAACCTCTGGGTAAATACTCGCATGGGATGCTTCTCAAAACAACAATATCTTCCTCATGTGTAGGGTCAAACGCCAGACCAAGAACTCTAGATTCTACCTCAAGTTCTTCCAGAGGCACCTGAATTATTGGTTCTATATGTCCTTCGTCTGTGATTGAGCAGATATACACCTTTTCCCCGCTCTGTGTGGTGATCATGACTTCACGTTTGTTTGTAACGCACATAAAAACATCAGTTCGTTCCGTACCGTGCCAAGGTTTCCCATGAGAACTATTAAATGAAGGCAAGGAGAGCGAACATTCCATATTCAGACGATCCTGAGCGCCCAACGTGAAGACATACACCTCCCCAAAACAATTGCACAAAACGATGTTATTCTCCACCACACGCATGACCCAGCAAGTCTCAGGTTTGGTCGAAGGAAAACCCTTCTTAATTGTACGGCATATACGTATCCAATGGTTCCCATCGTCCACAATTAATCCCAAATACGAAACTCCTTCTTTTACCTCATCCGCATCAGTTACACGATGTAGGGAATATATATGGTCATTCAGGTTGATATCCGCAGACAGAACCTTTGCGGACTCATTTCTACGCTTATCCAATAAAAAAAGCATATCATAGAAAGACTGGCCACGAGGTTCCCAATATATACTGTTAACAGCCTCTGGAGGAGTGGAAAAAGAGAAGAAATCTCTGCTTAACTCAAATTTCGGCCATCTTTTTATCATTTGTTCCATTGCTTCCATTTCTCTCTTTTCTTTTTTTTCTTGAACTTTTTCTTTCATCTTACGTTCGTCCAGAATGATATGTTCCCTCGGCAATTCACTGTCAGTCAGTTGTATCACTGGCCATTCAACGTGACAGGAATGTGCCATTCTAAGTATAAATTCCAGGATAAATTCCACCATAAATTCTAGTAAAACGTTATTTATTCCCTCTACGGAATCAACGATCTCACTTCGTTTTGTTGTATTAAAGAGAGACTTGAATCCTCCTCTGACGTGAACCGTGAATGTTTGGCGAACAGCTGGTAAGTCGTGTAGTTCTTGAAGATACAGTAAACAGTCTCGAGCGGCAGCTTCTGGATCATCAAGAAACTTTTCAAGAATACTGCTGACAATACGAAGTTTGGAAGCCATTATTAGATCCTCGATGCTCAAAGCCGTGTTACCAAATGCAATTGTTGCTTGTACTCGCGACATTTTGAATGATTCCTTCGCATCAGCCCAGCGTTCTTGCGATACAATTTCAAAAGTTGAAGATGACAAAGCTTTGCTTGCAGGACGTTGTTTTGTTTGTTGAGAGGTTGACGCACCAGCCCCTGCTACAAACTGTTCGACAGCATGAGTGATGTCTGCCCGTTCATTTTGTTTGCCTGGAGTTGTATTTCGAACGGCAATTCCCAAACGAGAGATACCTTCTTTTAAAAAGCAGAAACTACTGTTGAGAGGTTGCCTCGACAAACCTCGAAGGCTTGATTTTATTTCGTCAATATCTGAGATGATTTTCTGTCGTAATTCTTCGTCCGTCAGATCTCCATTGCTAAGATAACTGGCTGTGGCATTACGGGCTTTATTAACGACTAAACCTAAAACACTTTTGACAACGTCCGACATGTCGACCACTGATTAATTAAAGCTTATATGCTGCTTATATTTGATCAATATTGTGCTTACCGAGGCGAATATTCTACCCTGTCTTGTGACTGTCGTGTTTATATTTAGTGACCAGTTCATGTTACCAGATTTCGTAATTGAAAACTATTGTATTGAGCAGAAGTACAGTCAGTTGACGTCACCTGAGAGTGTTTTTAATTTCATCTTTTTCTAAACTCATGTAATCAGTGGACAGTTCCAGCAGTTTCAAAACTGGAAAACGTCTGACTCTTGAAAGTAAAATAGAGCAATTTTACCCAGGCGCTTTAGTAATTAGTAGTATACTGATATATATTATAAAACATTGCATCAGCTATTGTATAGAGGTCAGCTGAAAAAAGCGAGCGCGCGGGGGTGTTTGGGGTGGTTTTCAGGCTGAAGCAGGAGTCACTGAGCTATATAATAATTCCTGTATGTATCCAGGAATTGTAGTATTATTAGCTCAGTGACTGGAGTTCAACTTTTCGGCGAGACTTTAATACCGGAGTTTTATTCGAGGGTACGAATCTCGTATAGTCGTTCAATTTGAAGAAATGACGTAATCTTCCGCGAAAAGCAAGTGCGCTTTCTATAAACTAAAGTTAAACCATAATAGGAAAATGGGCGAAGAAGGTAAGAAAGGAACCATAAACGTCAATGTGACGGAAGTATTTGGGATTCAGGTTCTGCGAACATATGTCAAGACAATCCAGGAACATAAGGAAATAAAAAGTGACTGTGGATTGCGCATTTTGCAGGGAGCTCTGACCATGATGGTGCTATCCACCATAGTTTGTTCTGGGATAATGGTAGGGCTTCTGTACCACCCCCCGCCGTTGGTTAGAGAGTTATCTGACAGCATTTTGATGAATATTTGGCAAAAGAGTGATGCCAAAAGCCCAGAGTTTGCAGCCTTGCAAGAGCAACTGGGGAATGCAAATGAAGAAATTGCAAGGTTGAAAGACGAGATGAAGAGATTGAGAAAGGAGGGGATTGCAAATTACACAAGGGAGGTGGGTTGTCATGCTAACTTGTCGCAAGCGATGAACGAGAATGCCAAGCTGTTAGGGAAGCTTTCAGATGCTATTGACTCTGTGGGATTGTTAAATAAAAGTAATGCTGAAAAGGATAGAAGAAACCAGGAGTTGAAACAGGAGCTTGACATATGTATGCTGGATAAAGACGAAACTCAAAAATCACTTTCAAATGCTGAGAAACAAGAGATGAGTATGCAGAGAGATTTTGATACATGTAGAGATGAAGTTGTGAGGATGAAGAAAAACATTGAGGTGTTTGAAAGTAACAAATCTAAGTTAACAAATGACATAAAGGAGGCCGATCAACTGTCGGACGTATTGGAAAAGAATTTAAAAGCATGTGACAAGAGTTTAGAGTCTGTGAAAGTGAAAGAAAATACGGTAAACAGTGAACTTAGTAAAACAAAGGTTGCATTAACTCAATGCAAAGCTGAGAACACACAACATGAGGAGACTAATGCAAAACTAACCACACAGCTATCGACGTGCAATAATGGTTTGGTAGAATTAAATAGGAGCCTTCAAGCAGCGGAAAAAACAATCAAAGATTTTGAGAGCGAGAAGACAACGCTTGAAAAGGATTTAAAAGACACCAGGTTCAAGTTGGGAAACTGTAAGAACAAAAACATGGACCATGAAGTGCAGAACTTGGAACTGCTGGAGGAGATTGAAAGTTTAAAGAAAGAATTGAAAGCATGTTGACTGAACAATTAAATACTGTTGCAATATTAGATAAAGAAGCATTCTAAGTAGTTATGAATGAATTGACATTTTTTATTCACAACCAATTATCAACTGTTTTCAATAATCAAACAAAGAAATATGCAATTTGTAAACATGAAAGTGTGCAATTAGAATTTTATTTGAAACATGTGTACTAGCTTTTGATTAAATCTGATTGCCTTAGGTAATCCCTCAGTTAGTTCAGGAGATTTCTCAGTTACTTTGCCTAATCAAAGAGGATTTTATTGGTATTATAAAGCTGTTTCTTTGAAAAGCACCCAGATGTACCACCTTTCTACAGTATAATCATAGGCAGCCCAGAAATGAGACAGATTTCTGGGCTGCTTCTGTATAAGCAGATTTCTGGGCTGCCTATGGTATAATTCACTGGCTGTATAGATGGAAAGGAAGGGGGGGGGATAATTTATAGGGCTGGTTCACAATTGAACTTCAATTATGTAGCTTCAAGCCCAAAAAGAAAGCATGATCATTTTAGCTTAGGTACAAACATTCCACATATTCTTAGTATATTTGAAAATCTTATTTAACAAAAGAATGCTTGTCATGACTCAGACACAGACTCTATGTCCCCCCCCCTTGTCAATTTCATGCCATTTTCTATTTTACTCTGAACTCTAAAAAACTGGAGTAAAAGGAGAAATACATCATACCACATTGTTCTGGGAATTCCCCGGCGTTTTCGGAACTGTCTGCAATCTTAAGAGTTGCACTGGCACTTTGGAAACAGCAACTGCCTTTGTTAGTGATTTGCGCACAATACAGGCATAAAAATGACCAAACCTGGCACAGACCCAGTCAATGAATTAAAAACTACAAAGATTACCTCGTTTTTTGGATTTCCGTGGAAAAAAACGGTATGCATAGAGCATACAAATAAGAAATTGAAAAATGATGAAATGGATAAATTGGATGATTTCAACTGGTCTGCACTGGTTCTAATCGCGACGGTTGTCGCTATCATGGCATTTATTTGGGCCCTGGTCGGAGAAGTACGGAATTGTCCGAAAAGTGGGCGCATTGATCTCTCTGGTATATCTTCTCGTGAATGTCAGGAGAGCTTGGGCCAAGTGGAAGTAGCCCACAAAACTACAAAACAGCAGGTCGAAAAGCTCAATAAGGATATTGCCATACTTAAAGAGGAAAAAGCCAATTTTTCCAGGTAGAACAATTTGATTTTAGTTTATTAAAATGAATCAGCTGGCGGCCATTTTGTCAGTGTTTCCACTTAATTAGGAAAATTCGAAATTCTCCTTGAAGTTACAGAGACGATTGGTATATAATTTTGGCTTAGAGATTTCGACTAGGTTTGGATTAAGTTTAGATTAGAATTGAGTTTGGGATTTGCGATTAAAATTTCAATTTTCATTAGCTACATTCCTGATCCCGAATCTTTTAAATTGAACTGCCCCCCTTTGCTAGTAAAAGGCAAGAGTGGCAACTGTCTCTGTTCCCCCTCTCCCCCAGTTTCTCATGCTTCCTGCTTCCCTTGGTAAGACCTCACTCTCTAAATCTCTTTTCCAGAAAGCTGGATGATACGGAGAAAGAACTGCGTGAGATTAGAGAGCAGCTGAGGTTGGCTAAGCAGGAGAAAGATAACTTGGTGCAGGAGAATTCTCTTTTGAAGACGGAGAAGGAAACGATCAAGAAGGATTTGAGCAGTGCACAGTTCACTTTGGGAAACTGCAAGAATAAAAACATGGACCACGAAGTGCAAAATTTGGAACTGCTCCAGGAAATCGAGAGCCTGAAGAAGGAGCTAAAAGCATGTTAATTATAATATAAAAGGCCCAGTTTATAAGCAATTTAAAAGTTAAGTGATGAGATGATAATGAGGCTTGTTGTCGCATTACCTATTTTTTGATGAACTGCATTTAACTCGACGTGTAAACTAGACCTAAGAAAAATAAATGTGACCAATAAAAATTTGTGCTTCATATAAAATTGGATATTGGTTTTGATTGAGCTTGTTGTCAAACTGGACGAGTGTACATCCTCTGCCGATTCTGCACTTATCTTTTTCAAAACTTAACTTATCTGTAAGGTCAACTCATTTCTATTTTTCTTCTTTTTAAAACCATGAAAAAAGCCTTGTATAAAACCAGGCACTTTAAGAAGAACAGCAATTAATTGTGAGCTTTCTTATTTACATTTATTTTACAAGTTCCAAATGTTAAGGTCATCTTCAGTTGATCATCTAGAGTAAAGGCTGTATAAGCATAGTTTAAAGGAATAACAGATGTGCATGATTTCATGAATCGTGCATGAGAGATACTACAAGACTTCAGGAAGCGCCGGAAAATACATGAGCCGCAGATGACTTTTATAAAAATAACTACAGTGAAACAACCAACAGTTAAAACCTTTCTAAAACCCTCCGAAGGTAAATAAAATTCCTCTGTCCAGATTGTCTCATTCTGCACGGCTATTAACCAATCAGATTGCGAGCTTTACTGCTGTAGTTATCATATAAAATTCCTTGCTTCATTATTTTTTTTTACAGTATTTTGATTTCAAAATTTTGATAGCATCCTGACACTCTTTTGACTTCAGATTCTCCTCAAGCTTTTTCCTGTATTCTTCTTTAGGATATTCGTTATCTTGAAGGTCAAAATGACTAGCATAGTGACTACTTTTGTCCTAAATAATGCCAATACTTCAGAAATTAGTGCATGTAGTCAACGAGTAGATATTATAAGATATTATAAAATATTATAATAAATTATAATATCTACTCTTTGATGTAGTTCTACCTGGTTTAAACTTTAATGGACCCGTACACCGCCATTGACTAGCAGAACAAAGTAAAGTTATTAAAGTACGATTTATCCCAACCTACCCTAGTAGAATTTAACGTGGAAGTCATCTCACATTGATAGGCAGAATCAGTAGTTGTATTAGCGGTAGTGGCAGGTGAAAAAAAAGCAAATATCCAACTTAAAAACGTGAACAATAATGAAAATTGATGCCGTGGATACGTTACTGAATATTTTTTCCGCCAACTTCGGTATGACTTCGGTGTGACTTCGGCTGTGCTTCGGCTTTCGGGGGCAATGCTTCCACTCACTGTAATCTGAATTTTCTTTTCTTTTCCTATTTTTCCTTCCAATTTCTTTCATATCTCCTTCTAATTTCATATCTCCTTCTTCATATTTCCTTCCAATTTCTTTCATATCTCCTTCATAAATATCTGTATTTTCAGCCCTTTTATAACTCAGGGGGTGTGATCACAAATGTCTCGGAAAACTTAAATAAGCGTAAATTATGTAACAATAGACCTTTCTTATAATGACGTCAAACGCGGAAAGTATGATGTTACACGAAATTTGATTGGCTCCATAAAACTATCGAGCCAATTAAACTTCGTGTAAGATCAGGTCTATTATGTAAAACTGGTTTATTAGTAAATTTGTGACAATTTATTTGTCACTTGTACAAGTAGAATACGAAATTGGCTATACAACGACTGCAGAATATCAAGGCAAACGCTGACACAGAATCATTAATCATGAATAAATAACATTTAATGTTTTCTTTACAAGAAACAATATTTTTACTCTCTAACCATTTAAAACATGGCTACATGAGGATGAATAATTTTGAATACGTGCTCTAATTGTGTCTAAAACGGTGTTTCAAGTCCATCCCTTTCAAAGAATATTTACAATCTAACAATGTTAAAAATTGCTACATATTAAGTCACATTTACTAACTACAATTTGATCACTGCCTGATTTTGCTGGGGGAACAGTGCACCGCCTGGCTTGCTAGTAATTTCGAAAACATCTTGTTGAGTCAGAACTCAGTCAGGAAGGTTGTTGAATGAGGAAGGTTGAAAGTGAAACACTGAAGAAAACATTGCAAAGTAGTAAGTACCAAACTAGTCAGGTTAGATTGGAATTAGATTAGCAAGTCATCTCAGGATGAGATTGAACCTCAGTCAGTGGACTGTATCCCCAACAAAAAACAGGTCATTTAAACCAGTAATCAAGGCGCGTGCTGTTCAATCAAGTCTTCGTTAATTAAATATATTTACAGAAGTAAAATGATCATAAAATACGCCGTGATGAATGTTTTGGTAAAGGCTTACAATAGTAACTAACTACGAGATGTCACACGAGATTACTTGAAGTAACCAACTTGCGATGGCAACACCATTTCAATCGAATCTTCCATGACCTTATTCCACGGGCTCTTGCTGAAGGTTGAAACTCGTATAACATCTGCATGTACCTTGCATGAACTATCCATGCATAAACTGTGCATATACTAGGCGGAGACCATGTACCAACCATGTAGATCACGCTTGGACAAAGCACAGATCAGGCATGGATCACGTGCAAATCAGGCATGGACCATGCGCAAATCACACTTGGACCATGCACACTGCAGGCTCGGACCATGCAGAGATCACGCACGGATCATGTGCAAATCACACTTGAATCATGCGCAAATAATGGGTTCACCATGCATGCATCATGTGCCTCCCTCTTTTTCTGTGACCAAAACTCTTCCTTCGGCATCAAAGATGACAACTTTATCTTTTCTAAAACGTCTGAAGGAAAAAAACAAAATACCGTCGTTACAACAACCACTATCAATGTGATCTAAAGCGTCAAATCTTTATACCAACCTCGTAGACAAAATGCCGGTGTGGAAAAGACAAAAAATAATAGCCAACAAAACGACAAAAACTACGGCTGCGATGGAAACAGCAATTATGACTTTTTTACGTCGTTCATTTTCATCGCTCGTGTCCTGCGTTTCCGTATCGCCTAAAAATTCATAGAAAAGTGAGTTCATTTCATAATTCATGGATCCCTGGTGTTGCAAAGTTTAAACAAGCCTGAATACTGGATAACGTTTCGAGTGAGTCCAATTAGTGGACATGTAGTTTTAACCTACGACAACATAATGGTGCCTGGTATGAAATCATTGCAATTATATTTAAGATAAATAATGTTTTAAACAAATATGGATTATAATGAAGTAGTAAGGTGAAGTAATAAGTGATTACCCTTATCGGATATTTCAGTCAACAAATTTGTAAATCTGGTGGACTTTTTTCCTGTCGTAGGCGCTTCTGTTGAAGATTTTGTGGATCTTTCTGGCCCAGCTGTGATTTTATTTGCTTCAGTTGTTGATGGCGCTTGCTTTGAAGTGGACGGTAGTTGTGTGATAGACGCTCTTTTTGCCGTTGATGGTCCCGTGGTGATGGGATCGGTTGGATTCCTTGATGCTTTCGTTGTAGTTGGCAACTTTGTGGTAGTTGGTGTTTCTGTTGTGGTCGGCGCCTGTGTGGTCGTCCGGGCTTGTGTTGTGGTAGATGGTACCGAAGTAGTGGTGGGAGGCATCGTCGTCGGTAGCTCTGCGCAAATTTGTGGAAACCAAAATGAATTATGTTATCATTGTAAACAAATACATTGGTAGTAGGATCAGTTGGCAAAGCGTCAGATGCAGGCAGCGATGGTTAGTAACCATGACAAACAGCAACAACAACAACAACAACAACAACAACAACAACAAAAATCAACTCTGAACAATGAAAGGCAACAAAACAACAATATTGTCAAAAAGCTACCACGAACTCACCACAATGAGTAAGATTTATGTTTTCCACTTTTGTGTGATTGCCATTACAAGTCACTCCTTTGCTGTGAATCACGTCCTTAGCCCAGATAGCGAACTCTGCTAAACTGCAGTTACAATACGTGGGGTTTCTGTGGAAATTTCTAGAAAACAAAAATTAAGCACAATTTGTTATAAAAAGACAATTATGTAAGAGGTGCTTGTTAAGTAGAAATTCTAGTTTCCCCTTTTCTAAATGTCCCGAATGATATACCAGTGCTATGTTGTTTACTCAAAACTTTAAAATATGAAAAAGTATTTGGTGATGTTGCACGGAGGGATTTCGTATTATCCTCAAAAGCATGGACAAAAAAGTTGCTTACATTTCAAGGAACTGCTTGCCAATCTTCCTTAGGGCTCTCATTGGAGGAAATCTGAATTGGTTTGTATCAATATATCTAAAACAAGGAAATTTCAAATTAAAATTTCATCGCGTGCACTTCTGAGGTCCGTATCAAGTGCTACTACAGGAAACCTAAACTAACTTTATTTATACTGGATAGCTCTATCAGTTCTAAACTGTTCTTCCTAGAGGTTCAGTAAGGATCATCTCTTATTGATCCAGTGTTACTACAGGAGGAAACCTAAATGAAACTAACTTTATTTATACTGGATAGCTCTATCAGTTCTAAACTGTTCTTCCTAGAGGTCCAGTAAGGAACATCTCTTATTGATCCAGTGTTACTACAGGAGGAAACCTAAATGAAACTAACTTTATTTATACTGGATAGCTCTATCAGTTCTAAACTGTTCTTCCTAGAGGTTCAGTAAGGATCATCTCTTATTGATCCAGTGTTACTACAGGAGGAAACCTAAATGAAACTAACTTTATTTATACTGGATAGCTCTATCAGTTCTAAATTGTTCTTCCTAGAGGTCCTGTAATTGTATACACGGCAGGTCATATCCGTCGACGCTACAACCATACACACATCACAAATGAAGGTGAGACAGTCACTTACAGTGATTCCAGGCTATTTGAAACAGGTTGGAAGATATTATCAGGAAGACTGGTAAGTTGATTTGAAGCAAATGATCTGGAAAAACAAATTAAGTACGGGATGATAAGTTAATAGGATGGGAAATAGTAGATAGCTACTTGAGAGTGAGTGAAATCAACTATCGTTGACAAACACATCCTTGAGAAAGTCGTGGCAGACTGCCATTCCAAATGGACTCATTCAAGTGAAGATTTAAAATCACAAAACAAGAGAAAAAATCATAGCTTACAGAATTTTAAAATCCTTCATTGAACCGTCGAATAGATTCTCCGGAACTGAAGTTAATTTGTTTTTTTCAAACTCACTATAAAATATATCAAGATACAGAAGTTCAGAATACAATATTAGCGTATATATGACGTTAAAGATGACAATTTGACTTACAGTCGATCAAACTTTGGTAGGTTTCTGAATGCATTTGATGGCAATTCCGACAGATGGTTGCGATTTAGAAGTCTGTGTAATGAAATAAGTATTGTATATAGTCTGTTGAATCGTACGGAAATTGGGCCATGCAAGTAGAATAGACCTTTTTCATAATGACGTCTAAAAGTCTGAAACGCAGAAAGTCTGATGTTAAACGAAGTTTGATTGGCTCGATAGTTTTGTGGAGCCAATGAAATTTCGTCAGACTTAAAAACATCAGACTTTCCGCGTTTAATGTCATTATAAGCAAGGTCTAAACCTGAACTGTCATCATTCGAGAAAGTTACAGTAAGAAAGAGGAGATCTTTGGGCGGATGACGAATACAACAAGTATACTTACACTGTCTCCAAATTCGGAAGGTTGATGAATAGATTTTCTGGAAGTTTGTTTAGACTGTTGTGATATAGGTTCCTAGAATAGAGAGCCGGTAGTGCAATGATTTAGTGACACATTTATGACAATCAAAATATAGAATACGTTGAACAAAAAATATGCAACAGACAATAAAAAAACAATAAGACAGAATTGTAGAACGAAGCAGAAACGAACGACTGGGGTTAAAAGTTAAGAATAAATTTCCAGCACAATATAGTGACTCCCATACTTCCGGTCATACTCTCTCAAACATTTTGTGAACTCCAGCAAAAGGCAACAACTGCACTTACACACTGGATAGTTCTTTCAGATTTGTGCTGTTGAAAATTCCATATGGCAGTGTACGAAGTTTCGAGTTTTCCGTAATATCTCTGCATAACAAAAATAAAAGAAACTGGTGATCAAAACTGGGGGTTAAACGAGATCTAGAATGCTTGCTTTACCATTGAGATCAATCTGAATGCTTTACTTACATTTGCTTTAAGTTTGGTAAGTTTTTAAAGGCGTCTTTGGGGATGCTCGTCACGTTGGTTTTATACAACTCGCTGAAAAATATCAAGACATATTCTCGAATCACTATCAAGTCCCGTTTACACTAGACGGGGGAGTGGACGCTATTCACTGAACCTTCATCTCAAGTTGCAATAACCTGTGACAATGCAACGTTACTATAACATGTAAATTGGTAACCATGCTTGTTCTAAACAAGATAACTGCAGGTAAACACGCGCAAACTCGTGGGTAGAAAGGTACGCCATGCAAAATTTAGGAATGTTGGGGCGAGATGTCTATATTTGTACATTGTTATGCGTAGTCCCATGCGTGGTATAGCGCTGTTTGTTGCAAATGAATGCACAGTGTCACAAATTAGCCTTTATTACGATGTCGAATGTGCCATTACTCTAATTTTATCGTTAAGAAAAGTTAGTTCGACAATAAACCAATCCCAATTGGGGTAAAAATCGCGGTTCAGTATAGTGGTCACCCACGGGTGAGACAATATCCTATATCCTGGTTGTTAAAAGTGATGCTTTTGATAACCATGTTAGGAGATTGAAATTGCCTGGCATCCCATCAGAGTTGTAAAACAATAAAATTAGACCGCGAGTTGGGTATAGTCATCGTTGATACAGGAGGACAGTGTATGGTGATTACCACGTATCTATCTATGCGGAACTACACTCTTAATTAACACCTAGCGACACAAAGACCTAGCACAGCACCACGCAGGGAAAAATTTAAACTATATTTACAATTCCGCCAACATCCTATGCCTCAGCGTCAGCCTGGCAACGGAGTAACGAGAAATGTGCGATAGGAACTCGACTCGATGACCGTGAATTCAAAATGTCAAATCATTTTCATGCACGTCCGTTAGTTTCGAAACCATTTTCACTAAAGCAGGTCTCGGTAAAGCGGCACGTTCGCTATTCAATCCCGAAAGGGCACTTGAAAAATGTTTCGATATCTCGTGAACTCGTAGTCGTAGAGACTTTTTCAATCATGTCGCATCAAGGACCGATATTACTAATAAAAGTGATCGTTTCAAGGGTTACATGGTGACAGCCATCGAAAGTTTCATCTTAAGTTCCGTCTCACTTAGACTTCGGTTACAAAATATCAGGAGAAGTTACAAACGGCACAGAAATTGCATCAGTTTGAAAACATATTGTTATGTTTACAGTTCACACGTCACGATGCAAACACAATGAGATGAGGTTTATCGTGTGAGCCGGATTTCTGGTCCAAAAATGAAATTTGGATATTTTTACCGTATAAGTTTCAAGGCTTTGTCGGTAACAATTTCGTTTTAAATTCACATCGTTGAAATAGATAGATAGTTTGTTTAAAGCCAATAAAGCTGAATTGCGTAAAATACATGAAATAGAAAAAACAATTTTAGGATGTTGTTTTTCTCAAATAGAAACGGTAACTGCGTCTTTTACAGAGGTGCGGTCAAGGAGTAATTAAGATTTTGACAAAGAATGAAAGTGAAAATGCGCTTAATTTTTAACGAGAAGCCCGCTTCTCACGTATTTTAAAGCGAAGTCAAATTTTATTGCTATATAAGCATGTTTGGCTTGCACTCCAGCGTGCCCACACGGAAACAATTAAAGCGGATTGACGTACTTAGTATTGTTCGAAGATCTGTTTCATCAGAAGTTCTATTAAAGGTTTTCTATGAGTGGACTAAAATATACGATGCAGTATTTTAATACTGTGGGATACCCGCCCTGTACTTAAAATGACAGGAATTTGGTGACATGGGTGCCATGGCTTATAAGTGACTATTTCCTTTATTTGGGCAATTTGCACGCAAGTCTCAAAAGAATACTTGATAGTTTGACCACAAATTCGTAAAAATTTTGCTCTGAATTAAAATCATCTTTCTCGAAACAGAAGCAAATAGGATATCAAATTCGATATGCTGTGTTTCTAGCGATAAAATTGGCAAAAAAGCTTTCATACTGATAAGTAATTGCTACAGCAAAAATTCGATCGAACGATGTCTTGGGATTCTAATTACTGGAGTAATTGTTCGAAAATTGTCACAAAGTATATAAAAAAAACATCAGTGTTCATATGACATGAAATTATAGAATTTCGTCCCTAATCCACAGTAAACTAGCGGGATAATATGCATTATTGTTGAGTCAAAGTTTCAGCATCAACATTCCTATTGCTCACAAACAACACTGTTCAATTTCCGATTAAAAAGCCAACTCTTTAAGGCAAAAGAATGTGACTTTTGCAGCTAACAACAGGCCACAGCAAGTTTTCCGGCAATTTTAATCATTTTTAACAAAGACAATGTGCAAAAATGATGCAAACATATTAGAAGCTTTTCAAAAGCGTCATTTAAGAGGCAATTCCGCAAATATTTGTTTACCAAATGAACTGCTAAATACCATAATAATTTGACATGTTCCTTGCATAATTGCAACATAATTGCAACACTGCTTGCTCATAGTGTTGAAATTTGATCCAATTTGGAATTGAAATTTTTCATCAGTAATCACGAGGCCCGTCCCTTTTTTTTTTTATCATTTTGAACACGTGAACTCGCAATGAAGAGATGGAAACATCTTCACCATTTTTTTTTAAGAAAACTATTCTAATTTGGTATGTACTTGGCTTGGTAAGAAGTATTTGACCCAATAACATGATGACAACCATTTATCGTTACAAAGCAAACAAGGTTATTACCAGGAAAACATCAATAAACAGACCGCCTTTTGAACGAGCCGTTCTGTCTTGTCTAGGCCAAAATAATTTACATATTTCCATTCATACAAATTTTAGTATTTCTGTTCCTTTAAGACATCTCCAAAACGGCGAGGCGCTTGCTGCCAAAATGGCTAAATCACATAAATAGTTTACTATAAAACATTCGCAGTTAATTGCCAAGCTTTCGACAGCAGTAAGTACATATAAAGTCCAGAGAATACTCGGACGTGAGAACTACAGGCCTTTGCTATATACAAGTTATCAGTTTCTATAGTTGGTTCTATGGTTGGTACTAAAATTGCACCTACTTACGGTCATATTATTCGTCATGCTAAATTGAACTAGAAAATTACATAATATATCAATTTTGGTTGAGCGTTTTAGTTTGAAGCGATATTCATAATTATCGTTACATTGTTTGAGTGCAGATAAAGAATTCATATATGGTATTGCCGTCAAATAATTTATCAGACGCTTTTGTACAGATGTCAGCTGGACTGAGCACAGAGACAATTAGAGAGAGACACGAAAGATACCCCAATTAAACCTTTTCGGGAGTCACTTACTGTTGAATTCTATTAGACATGCTGGCTTTTATTTACAAGTCAAAAAGCACTTATGCATAGCAAATATTTAGCTCCCTGTCGAGCCGTTGTGCACTCAAATACAACTGGAGAGAGTGCCGGTGAGATTTACTATATACAACCCTTTTAGGGTGATTCTACCTGACGTTCACAAACTAGAACAGCTTCGTCTTCACTACAGAGTGATAAAAATAAAACCATTTATAAACATCTGCAGAAAACCGGCTGTATTGGCTGTATTCGCTTGAGCCAAGTCGGTACAATATACCATGTCAGTATAAAGATCAATTACCCGTGCAAATTGCAACAAACCAATATTTTCGCCGGTCAACGATGTCGCCTGATGAACATTGTTTATACAAAATATCGAGAAAATATCAAGGCCAAGGGCAAGCGCTTAGGGATTTCACCTTGTCTATGCCTATGCCTATGAGGAGACGAAGACGTTTTACGCAGTAGAATCCCCCAAATCTTTCATTTTAACACTCAAATAGACAAAATCAAAATTGTTATTTCGATTACATTTACTCTTCGTCATCACGAGCAAACACAGATTATCTACGGTACGTAAAGATTTAGACTAAAGTAATAGAACTTGTTCACACAAAATATGCAATGTTTCAAAGGACATGTTCATTTTGCAACACCAAGATATAAAATGTTGAACTATTACCGAACTATTTTATTTAAACCATGTTCAAAGCATATATGCTGTTATTCACTGCTTTAAACCATCTAAAATTAGCCTAGGTCAGCGCGAAAATAGGCCGTTGACAGGCAGACCGGATGGGCGACCATTTGACAATGTATTTAGCGCGAAGAGCAAAGCAAAGTGGCGTCTGTATCGGTGTGCGTTTCAAAACAACTGTAACAAAACGACATCTATACTGAACAAAATAAACACGAGAAAGATGATGGTGTGTGTACTTACAACGATCTTGTAGTCGGTGGAATGCCTTGTGGAAAACTAACAATGTCTGACCCAATGCAAGTGACGCCGAAAGTGCTTTCAACACATTGACAACCATTCGGACAAGAAGCACCCGCGTGCTTTGTAGCGAGAATTCCCAAAAGTCCCAAAGCGACGGTGAAAAATACGAGTTTTCCCATTGCCTTTCAAAGCTGTCTCTGTCGTTATGCTAAACTGGCACAATGCAAACACAAGGTTGAAGTGATTGAGGAAATGTTTATAGAATACTCTAATAAAGGAATACTTATGCAAATTGCAAAGAACCTAAATATTTATGCAAATTCAAACCACTAATTGTCCACAAGCGCATGCTCTTTTGTATTCCGCGGTGAGCCGAACAGCCTCAAAACTTTTTTTTGTTCCGAGGACGAGAGATCGCTAAGATAGTGCAATATTCCACGACACTGCGAAGAGTGGAGACTCTGCCGCATGATTTGTGAGGTTCACTTGTACAAAATACTAACGGAGACAGCCAAAGTACAATTTTTTCAACAACTACATTTTATTTTGATTTGAAATCTACAACCGTGGGAAAGAAAATTCAACCGTCCCCGAAAAATTACCCGTCAATAGAATGCGCCGAAAATAGTCTACCGAATGCCGCATCAGCATTTTAAGCGCATCGCGAAGAGATTCGTTACATTTTTCCAGTCAAAGTTGGATTATATTGACTAATGGCAGTCGCTAAAAGCTACTTAATGCGTTAAATTCTGGCGAGGCGTTTATCTAGAGCTTGTAAGATCTTACTTTGTTTACATTATCTAAATATTTCGCCGACCATTTATATCTATTACAGCTTGATATGGGACCTATAACTTTCAGAAATATTAATTAATCAATATTTTAAGTGCATCCCAACGCTTAGCTTGCTTTTAGGCGTGGTAACTACACGACAATTGTACAAAACACGTGTTGTATATCACGATTTTATTAGAGATACAAGATGCAAGTTCTCGTCTTCACAATTTTTCGCTAAAATCTCTTTTTATTAGGACTTTTTTTATCTAATTTTGTTTGGAAAGGAACTTGTGATAATCGCATTGAATCAAAATATATACCCCGGAACTTCCCAACGAATATTTACCGTTTTCGGCAATGACCGTTTAAAAAGGCAAGCGTTGTCAAGTTTCATTTGGGCAGCCTTCGTGAGAACAATGTAAACACTAGACAACCCACGTCAAAAAAATTGTTGTTACTCTCTTAAATACGAGTGAGTCTCGCGATGCAGGACAGCAGTTTTTTTACTGTCCACCTCACGTCAACAAAATACTTTTCAGAGTAATGCATTATGAAAATGATATATACGACTTGGTAAACCAAATATCAAGTACCCTCAATTGAAGTGCTTTTTGTGTTTTTAGGCATTATCATGGCAGGTGTTAAAGAGGCGTTAAACAAATGTTATCTGCAAACAAATCTTTCATTACTCACTCCCACTTTAGACTTGCTCGACAACTGAAATTATTTTCGGGTATTACCTATACAAGTTGGTATTATAAGAATGAAAACAATCATTAATTGCCATTTAAGTACTTAGCACACGCATTGTATTTAGCACATGCAAATTGCTTTTAAGCTATTTTTTGATGAACAATATTCACTGCTTTTCTCTCTCTTGTTGCAATGAACATTTTCCTAGAATTCAGGATTTTCAGAAGAAAAATTCTAAGATTTCTACATTAGAAATTGAGAGATCACGATTCTTATTACACGTAATTCTCCACCAATCAGCTGCTAGAGCCACTCCACGTTACACTCCCCGACAATGGCTGAATGAATTATGAATTCACAAAATGGCGAAAACGACAGGGAGTGTGAACAATTACAAGCCTAAATCACGACGCCAAATTAAGTCTAAAAACAAAAGCAAATACTTCGAAAATGCGCAAAGAAAAAGCGCTAAACGAGCTGTCAAATCCATTAGCAAGCAAACAGATTCGGAAGGCGGCATTTCACAAACAAACTTGCCGAAATTGGGCCCATTGTCGACGGCTAAAGATTATAATCCAGAAATATTTGGGAAGAGATTAGGGCGCGATTTCTTTGATACTCCGACGGAGAAGCTAGCCGTTGATCTACTCGGGAAGGTTTTGTGTAGGCGGACGGACCAAGGGGAGATTCTTTGTGGAAAAATAGTGGAAACAGAGGCCTACCTTGGGGCAATAGATCCAGCCTGTCATGCGTACGGGGGGAAACGGACTGCTCGAAATGCACCTATGTACGGACCCCCCGGGACGGCGTATGTGTATTTTATCTATGGCATGTATCACTGTTTTAACATCTCAAGTAAGGAGGAGGGGGCCTGTGTCCTGGTCAGAGCCCTTGAGCCACTGACAGGTGGGGTATACTTGGAATGTTACAATCTAAACCATGCTAGGTTGTGGGTAATTCTAATACCAAATATAGATCGGCCCTATAGTTATGTTAACCAATAGCACATTAAGCTGAGGTTCGATCGTCGTTTATCCAAACTCTAGGTCTGACTCAAATGAAGGAGCTTCGAGCTGCAAAACGCAAGGAAACCGCAAAACCTTTGAAAGAGCACGAGCTTGCAAATGGACCGTCTAAACTCTGCACAGCTTTGGACATCAATAAGCAGGAGCTCAATAACATTGATATGGTCCAGTCGAAGCAGTTTTGGGTTGTTGAGGATGCAAGTTTGACAGGCTCTGAGGTGTTCACGGTCATACATACAACAAGAATTGGGATCGACTCTTATGGAAAGGAAGCTGCTCAAAAGCTCTACAGATATTATATTTTCGGGAATAAACATGTCAGTATGAAGAACAAAGAAGCTGAGAGTAGAATAGAAGTAGCATTATGAAATTTCCAATTATTGATTTGATTAATTTCACTGTCTGCAAACCCCAGGATAAGGGATGTTTTATACTACAGTCAGTTTGTAGACAGCCAGGCTAAGGTAGCTGCATAGCCTGCATATGCTAGCCTGCATATGCATTGTGATTTATGAATGGACGTTCCACCCAATTATCAACTGTACCTTCATTGCTATATTTAACTGTCGCATCTGCATCAGCTGTCATGTAACTATGGCAACCAGATAAGAATGTACGAGGCTGATAACGTAACAAAGATAGTGCCTGACGCAACTAAAATTGAATGTTTCTTTACGCCAACAGGAACTGTAAATATGATATCATTGCCATTGTCCTGAAATCAAAACAATGAATAAAACTTTGATTCGTAATTATACCAATACAATACATGCGAATACCTGGTCAATTTTAAAATATAGTTAATTGCAATAAAAGAGAATATATTCCCTATATGAATTCTATATAATATTTGTCTTAAAATACAAAACTGCAAGCCTTTATTATATTGATTTTAAACATGCATTCTGTTTGAAGCGAATGTTAAAATGGAATATAAAAGGCATAGTACACAACAGTACGTACCTGTTTTTGTTTCAATACAACCCACTCGCACATTTCCATTGTGTTATAATTGCATGGATATTGAGCTTTCTCCAGCTGGTTAAAACATTCTTGCATATGACCAGAAGAAAAACTATCTGCCATGAGATTGGTAATACATTACAAAAGTAACTTAAAAATGCTACATTGGTAGGTTTGAAGAGCTGTTTCTGTTGGGTTCTTACCTCTGCACAAGACCATTAGGGTTGGTTGGGGCAAACTAACTGTGATGTAATGTTGATTATCAGATGGTTTTTGATATCTCCAGTGCACAGGTAGCATTGTGTCTGAAGTCAGTTGCCAATGTTTGCCTTCAGACCTAGCAAATGTGAGATATAAAAAATCATCTATACCCAGGAGCCAAACATTATATGATTCAAACAAATTAAATTTCTGAAACATTTTCCTGAATAAATACTACATCCTACCTGTGTTGAATTTGTTTCTTAATATTTGAATAAACCAGGACAGTCTGGGCTGTAGATAAGTGTGCTGGTCGTTCAACATCAAAGTTCTTTTTATCACCCAAAGGAAGAACCTGAAAACTCACTATAATGTGATCATCTGATTGAATAGAAATGTATAAGTTAACAATAGGAACAGAATCAGCCAATCTAATGGCATATTGATTGGGACATGTCCAGCTCTCGGAAGCTTTCGTCCAATTGGATAATGCTTTTCTACGCTTTCTAAAGAATGACGCTATATTTTTTCAACAGTCATGTGGCAAAAATGGTAATATTAAAGAAGAGCTTTTCTGGTCAAGTATATTACTTTGGCAGAAGTATACCTTTACCTTAGCATTGGTTAAATTACTTCGATTAATCTCATCCAAGTCGACAAACATCTCACGAGGTATGTAATGGAGAAACAGCAAGCTACAGTCACCATCTTTAGGATCATCATGATACCATGATACTTGGCTGACTACCTCCCTGTAAAACAAATACACATTTTAAGACAAGTTTTCTAATTTTTTGGACCAGTAAGCACCAACATCCCCATTGAAACACTCCAGTCAGACTACACAGGGTATCCCCCAGGGGAGGAACTATGCAGTCAGACTACACAGGGTACTCCCCAGGGGAGGAACTACACAGTCAGACTACACAGGGAATTCTCCAGGGGGAGTGTTTGTTGTTAGCAATTGTTCTGTAAATATAAAACATTACCTATGAAAACCTTCCTTATGAACTGTCCTTTCAACTGAGATAGTTATCAAGCTGTCACATTCTGTCGACATTGCTGAAACCTCTGAAAACATATTTTTAAAAAGGTAAATCCGAAAACACTAGTTGCAGACTTGCAGTCACTGAACAGACAGACCACAATGGAGACATTATAAACTCCTGTCAAAATATTTTTATTGTGTGCAAAGAACAACTTACCTCCGTAGAAACACACAAAAAATGCAAAATATCTTAATTTCTCCATGAAACGATACAATACCATACTGCAACACAATTTTCACGAACTAATATTGTCAATTCTAGAAATTACGCATTGTTTTGATAAACCGTAATTCCCATCGTCTACAGGTTGATAGCGTAATCTTCGGGGACATCTCGGAACAACCTCGGAACAACCTCAACAACGACGTTACATGCAAAATCTATCCAACATTCACGTGAATTAATTGTGCATTATATTCTAAAATAGGCATATATTTCAAAGAATTTTTACTCCATTGCATTGAATTGTATACGCATTGATTGCTTTACTGCTCTCTGAATGCGATTTAGACATTTTTTGGACTTCAATTTGTACATTCAAATAAACCATTTTCTATTCTTCTAAAACGGAGAATTCATTCCCAGTTTGGTTCCAAACTTGAGCTTCGCTCTTTTTTGGTATCGAATGTAGAATCTAGACAAAGACAGGAAAAAAATACTAGAGAAACAGAAGCTTCGTACCCAAAATGTTTAAAATTTTACAGCGGGTTAGGTCATCCAAAGCACGCATTAACTGTTGAGGGGTAAAATGAAACGACCACACTTACTTGATGTATTTACATTTCGAGAATTCACAGAGACCCAGCTGAAAGATGGGCCAAATAAATACCAAACAAAAGACGACCTGGGGTATGTGGCTGATGTCATAATCATTGCTGTCGTTCGTTTGCCACAATAACTGGGATATCGTCATGTAAAACACTTGCAGAATAAAGCTACAACGACAGAGAAATATCGATCATTGGCCATCAACAATATAGCGAGAAAATTCATTTTGTGCGGCAAATGAGTTGCCTATCTTAACATAAGAAGACAAAATGAATCACTAGACACTAGAGTCCGTACTGGTTAGCGCTAGTTTAATCGTTCTTGGTCGGAAACAAACACGTTTCACAATGAGGTATTGTCGCCTCGAAGTCTTTACTTACAGAACAAGAACGGTAACAATCCATTGTTTATTAAAAAATGGCAACTTTTTCCAAAGTGGATGCAAATGATGTACATAGCTTGTTGACATGAATACTGTGGAAGAAGAAATACAAAATCTGTCAAGTAAAATCCGGCTGTAAATAATATACTACCGACAAGTAAACAAACAACAAATAAACAAACAAACAAACAACTAACCAAAGCATAACATCAAGAAGAAAGCCACGACATCTTGAGCTAAAGCTAAACACGAGAGATGCCGATGGCCAAAGCCATTCCAAGTTTCTGAGATATTTCTGAGGGAAAACAAACAGACACATCACACCATGAAAACACTGAAATTCTCAAAACACTGAAATCTTCAGTCGTTTTAAAGAAGAATAAAAGCATTCTTCTAATTTACTTTCTTACCTGTTTCCGAGAAAGTAATGGCATTTGTCCTCCGTGGAAGAGTTGAATCGCTCGCAGAATGACAACAGGATGAGAGGAAATATCAGCAGGTTGGAGATGAAAACAATTGGGAGGAAAGCGAGTCCATGGAAGCGAAAGAACAATGAGTTGTAACCCTTGCAAGAAGAAAGATGGTAGAAATTTCAACAGGGAAGCCGGGCAACTATCCCTTTTGAAAAAAAGGGCAATGTCAATAATCGTTCAATTTGAAGGATTGTATTGCAAATTGCGTCCTGGTTCACACTTGACGACGAATTTTGCTTACTTTAAAATTATTGTCATTTTTCGCCGTCATCGTTGTCATTAGCTGTAGGTCGTTGTCCGCGTTCACTAGCGAGATACTCAGGGCTGGCACTAGAACACAGGTGAACCACAGCAGATGCAAGCCCGTGAGAGGAGGCGGTAATAAGACCGAGGCGGTCAGCATTACAAGGCAGAGAGTTAACTGACAAGATAACATGAAGGTGAAGCATATTCGCAAACCAAAACAGAGGCGACGAGCCTAGAAGAAAAACAAAATAAAAATTAGTAGGTTTCCTCCTGTAGTAACACTGGATCAATTAGAGACGATCCTTACTGGACCTCTAGGAAGAACAGTTTAGAACTGATAGAGCTATCCAGTATAAATAAAGTTAGTTTAGTTTAGGTTTTCGCCCATGCCAGTTAGAAAGTGACCCACCTCCTTTAATAACGCCACAAACTTAATATTATAATCACGATGAAACGATAGCGAACATGAGATGCCATTTAATTTTGAGCTGACTGTCAGGGGATTCAACTCTTCTTCATCTACGAAAAATGGAACATTTAAAGCCATATAACAAACTAGAAACTATAAGCTAAACGCTTTTAGAAAATCTCGACTCACTTCGCCTTCAAGCGCTGCAAATTAGTTTGGTACTCACGTGAACGGTTTTCGGTTTTGAGGAGATTAGTTTGGCTGGAGTCTTCAGGAGTCGATGTCTGGGACCCCCTGTGTCTCGGCTTGGCGTTTAGACAAACTTGCGGGAAGCTTGGTTGAAGAGCAACACTGTCGTATTGAATTGAATGTACAATTTTAGAGGGAACTTTGAGAAGATGTTTCGCGAAAAATTTGCAGCCAAGATGGCGGAACATGAAGTCTTTCTTGTATGTAGGTATGATCCAGGCCTTCACGCGGAAATTTCGTAGGTAAAATGGCGGCAATTTTACAATGATTTTACCTTTGAAATTTTCGCGCCAGAGGTCTGTATCTTACCTACAAGAAATGCTTTATGGTCCGCCATCTTGGCTTCACTCATTAATGAGGGAAAGTCAGAGAGTGAACGTACCAGTTTTATGTGAGTTCACCGCCCTTACCTCACGTCAGCTTGGTTGAATGTTTCCAGGTTATCAATATTCAGAGAGCTGCCGATACAACACACCACCTCACCATATTCTTGCATTATTGAGATCATTTCTCGCGCCGCTACGAATGAGGAAAATACTGTAAACAAACAAACAAACACAAACGGACAAACAAACAAATGCAAAAAACATGCAAAACAAACACATTCTTAAACAAACAACACACAAACAAGCTAGCAAAAAACAAACAAACAAACTAGCAAACAAACAAACAAACAAGCTAATAACAAATAAACAAACAAACAAGGCATAGCTAATAACAAACAAACAAACAGGCAAATAAAAAGATACAAAACAAACCTTGTGGAGTGCAATCGGTAAAGAGTGGAACCAACAATGGAACGTTATCCACGTCTTCCAAATGAGGACGGATGTTGATGATACCACGAGGAAGTTTTGCCTACAAGAAAGTTTTGGAGAGAAATAATTCCACTTCGTTCTCTGCGCTTTGTAACAATGGAGAATGATCAGCGGAGTTTGTAACAGAATTTTAAAACAAAATATAACAAAACGTGCTCCAAATTTACCCGATTGCTAATCTGAACCCTGATATCTCCGCCATGATCAACGTCGTCGTTATTTGTTGACATACTGGACGAAGACGCTCCGCTTGATTTTCGATCCCGGGCTGAAACGAATCGATTGAGTTGATACGGAATCGTAAGCATAGAAACCAGGACTATTACATCCAAGAAATGCGGTTCAAAATAAGGCACGTGTTTTATAAAGAAACAGTTCTTGTTTCATAAAAAAGTAATCCTTGTTTCATAAATAAACAGTTCTTAATAACCTTCAGAACCCTGCCATTTTACTTTCTTTTCGACCTCAGTTTCTTCACCGTTCGCATCAATGTCCACATCATCTTCTTCGAACACGTCACCGGTGACGTCACCTTCTTCTGGGGACGGGCCTGTGACTTCATCACGTGGACACGTGACGTCATCCTCTTTCGGCATGTCACCAGCGGCGGCGTCGTCGGGAACCGGGGTCACGTGAGTGACGAGAAAATCGTCAGCGGTGTCATCCACCTTGCCTTCCGAGCCCGCGGTCAATGTGCTGTGCTCATCAAAGCCAAAGGTCTTCTCGCTGAATGAAATGTGACAATTCCATCCCGTCTCCAGACCCAATCTCTCAGCGAACACCTGAGGATTAAGAATAAGATACTTTGATATTGAAGGCTGGTTTCCACTCAGGAAAATTATCCTCCGGACCGGATCGAACAGAATGGTTTTATTTTGTGTTAAGACAGGTAGTTTTGATTGAGAACACAAGGATAGAAGAAACTTTCTTGACTGGATACCAGCCTTGAAACTCCATTGGAAATGCTTAAGTTATCAGCAAAGTTTGCTGTCCTGTTCCAGCGCGATCATTTCTATGATACACATCTAAATACCTGACTTTTTATTTCATTTTCTTCTGAGAAATAGACAAAACGAATTCCAGCGTTGTTCAGATCCTCGACAAGAGGCGGAATATCCTGGTGGGTTAAGAAAATATCCCGAATTAAACGACTTATATTACGTGGTTTTAAATCACAAGCGCGTAGATAAAAATAAGACTTGCTTCAACCGTGCGAGCTTGGAGGGGAAAGGGACTGAAAACCAATTCAAAACAATAGCTGTAACTTTGCATAGAAAACCATCCAACCATACACTCTCACCTGTTTAGCCTTGTGCTGCAAGGTTATCATACCGATGAAGATTTGACCCCCAATAATTCTGAAAAGAAGGATATTTTATTTCAAAAAATCTCACACGAAACGCACTTGTGAAGGTCAAAATTCCGTGTTATGTCGTTTAAAGGACTTGAGAATACATGTCTTCTCACCTTTGATAAAAATCCAGGTCAATTTCGTTGCTATTCAAGCCAAGCGAGGTCTCCCCAACCTGAGATGGAAAAAATACACTTGCAACTGTGAACGGACCTTACGAAATTCACACAAACTCCCCAATATCCTGAGCACTGCTATCCTTTCTACTGCTCTTCACTGATCCAAATAGAGCGGACAACGCCCCCCCCCCCACTCCAATCCGACCGAGATTTCCGCCACTGATCCTGAGTAAAAAAAAACTCCCAAACTTCATATGACCTTGTTGTGATCTTCTTCGGAGCCTTCAGATCTTGAGCTGGACATACTGGAGTAAAAAGCAACGTAGAATAATTACCTATAATCTGTCAATCTTTTTCAAACCGCGCACAGTAGCACACCCTATTGAAAGTATGTGTATGAATACATACCTGCCATTATCACTGTCGTTATTTAACAAATTCACCCCGTCAGGAATTTCTAGAAATACATCTTGATCTAAACCATGCCATGACTGCAACGAGGATATCAAAGTTAGAATTTCTCTAGTTGTAGTAACACCTGATCTCTTGGAAGAACAGTGTAAAATCAAACCTGTGTGATTGGACGATACGACAACGCAATGCAATTTGATGTGATGCTGGTACGATGAAAGAAATCCTGAATCTTTCGCCTATGAAGACAAACATATTATAGGAGAAGAATGATTAAAATCAGACAAACAGCCTGAATCGCTGTTACCCTTGCCAGGGAATCCTTACAAAATCCTACCTTTCCATTGATGTCAATGGGTGAACTTCCGACCCATCCCAGAAATCGGTGCAAACGTCAAGCAACAAGTCTGCAGAGCCCTGGGACAGAAGCTGATGATGACCTAAAAGAAAATAGGCGAGGCGACATGTTTATCTAAACTTGTTCAAAGATATCTTTCAGTAAGTGAGATTCTCACCTGATGTGACATGCTCGACTACCAATGAGGTCAGAAATGGAACTGGTGTTTCTTTACAAACGGACAAGAATGAATTGGACGGAACAGCTGAATCGTTTAGCTGTTGCTGAAAAGTAGAGATAAAAAATAACTGGATAGCTCTATCATCTCTAAACTGTTCTTCTTAGAGGTCCAGTAAAGATCATCTCTTATTGATCCAGTGTTACTACAGGAGGAAACCTAAACTAAACTAACTTTATTTATACTGGATAGCTCTATCATTTCTAAACTGTTCTTCCTAGAGGTCCAGTAAAGATCATCTCTTATTGATCCAGTGTTACTACAGGAGGAAACCTAAACTAAACTAACTTTATTTATACTGGATAGCTCTATCAGTTCTAAACTGTTCTTCCTAGAGGTCCAGTATGGATCATCTCTTATCGATCCAGTGTTACTACAGGAGGAAACCTAAAACAAGCTTAAACTATACTCACACTGGCTTTAAAAGCGAATATATTGTGTTTTCTTCTGAAGTTTTCTAATGCTGAATCAATGAAACCAATTTGCCTTCCGAGCAAACACAAACACCTAAATAAAACAGACAGAAATCATACTCGAACATCTGAGCGCATACTAGCACACTTCTGTTGAATTGCTGTCGTGAGCGTCCGGCGTAACGGCGTCGGAACCACGAAGATCTCCGAAACGAAGATCGACAAACACACCTTCTCACGATACGAACAGGTGTATCATTCACCAGCAGCGAGAGATGGCCAAGATGATCCGTAAGTTTGACAGCATTCACAGGAGACGAACAAGGCGCATTCAGAAGGATATTGAGACCCTAAGAAGATGAAGAAAGATGAAGGAGTTCGCAATTCAAATACACAGTTCAGTAGAATACACACAGTATACAGTTCAGGGCGCCAGCAGGCAGGCGGGCTTGTAGGACCCAAGCTGCAGTTTCAAACAATTCCTGCCCGAGTTCTACCTTCGCTCTCCTCAACATTATAACCTCATGAGTTCGATTTGCTTACCAGTGGTTTTAAAGAGCTCAGATGTTTCCGCCAGCGAATGTCATCGAAAATAACACCAAATTCACTCTAAATGAGCATTCAAAAGATATGTGTTGTTGTTTATTGCTAAGCGAAGCTAGTCTCGTCTCGTCTCGTCCACACGTTATATTATGATAGATTCACACCACTGACCTTCGGGTCGCAAGAAAGATTTAAGACTTCGGAATGAGACACGAAATTGCAATCTGTAGCAGAGAAGAAAACATTTCACAAACGTTGACAAAACTCTCATGCAAACTCTCGCTTGTCAACTCTCATCAACTCTCATGCAACTCTTGTTTTCGTTTGACCAGAACATGACAGGGGGGACATTTGTCTCAAAGCATGAGGGGGGGGGGGGTTCCCCAACCTTTGTGATGAAGTAACGGCGTGGGCATCGCCGAATTCTCAGACTCCTCCTCCCCCTGTATGGCGCGAAAATGGACATCCGTGCGAACGGTGGGACTGGTACTAGATTCTTCGTCATCGTCGATATGCGCCGTAAAAAACACGGCTCTGTCGTCATTGCTGCCGAAATGAGTGTCTTTTACCATCAGCCTTTTGTTTCGCCTTTCTTTGCGTTTGCGGAAAAAGAAAACTTTTTCGGCGTTGGGATTTGGCGAGGCAAGAATACCATCCTTGTTAACACAGCATAAAACCTGTGATAGTATATTCCAGTTAGATTTATCTAAGACCCCGTTTACACTAGAACGAAAGTTTCCGGATTCATCACGAAAGCGGAATGTTTCAGTACCGGATTCATGTTGCTGTTTACACACGCAGCAACGAATCCGATAGAAAATGTACTCGGTTTTAAGCCGTATCCGGAAACTTTGAATCCGTAAAAGTTTGTGGAAACTTCGTATCTAGAAACATTTGAATCCGGAAAATTTTCTTGTGTAAACGCTTTGCACGACGAATCCGGAGAAATTCAATATGGCGGACCAAACAATTCTCCAAGAACAAGGAATGTGAGTGTAAACGGACAAACCGCATACAGAGACAACTAAAGTGTAGTGTAAACACCTGACGAATCCGATACATGTGTATAACAATGAATCCGGATAATTTTACAAATCCGGAAACTTTCGTTCTAGTGTAAACGGGGTCTAAGAAAATAACGAACCGTTGCGTATTTCTGTGAAATAAATCTTACAGGTGGTTATCACAAATTGAAAATCACGACAAAAATGCTGTGTACTAACACTTATGGTTCCTAGAGTATGCAAGAGATTAGCTGTCCGTGATAGTGTGTCTGACTCTCCTTTGAAAATTTTCCAGAAATGATAGTTGACGTCACTCAGTGGTAACAACGAGACTTTCTTAGAAAGCTGACAGAAAAAAGAAAAAAAATATCAGATTTTTTCAGCCGCAGATTTTGATAAGTAATTGTATACAAGTACTAACTTTGGTAGACGGGTGAAAGAGTATCTTTGGTAGACGGGTGGAAGATGTACCTGGCTTATTTCAGATTTAAAAAGAACTTGAATTCTTGCTGTTCCAAAACAATTGATTACAATCCACATGAGAGGAAATAATAATGGCAACAGCGGAATAATAACGTAAGCCTAAGTGTTTAAATATTAGAAGCAATGATGAATTTATTTATAACAATATTCATACCAGTGTTACTACAGGACGAAACCTAAACTAAACTAAATTTATTTATACTGGATAGCTCTATCAGTTCTAAACTGCTCTTCCTAGAGGGCCAGTAAGGATCATCTCTTATTGATCCAGTGTTACTACAGGAGGAAACCTAAACTAAACTAACTTTATTTATGCTGGATAGCTCTATCAGTTCTATATTGTTCTTCCTAGATTAAATAAAAATCACATTTAATTTCCATACTTGTAGTATAAAGATCATCTCCGACCACGAACCAAAATCATCCCGCGACAAAAGGAACCTTATGAGATTGATAAGAAAAGATAAACCCTGAAATGAAAAAAGAGGAATAAATGCAGAGAATAGCTCCAAAGGCACACGTCAAAGTCTTACAATCGGATCGGCCAATGCCATCCATGCAGCACAATTCATACTCTTATTTTGAAACGCACCAAAATAACCGGGATCACTCGAAATTGCAGAACTTGTTTTATAACGTAACATCGTTCATTATCCAGCAGACTTGTTGGCCTTCTTTGAGAACTGTAGAATGTGGTTCTAATATGAAAAAAGATGAACCAAAGTTCAACTAACCTCAAGTAGGAATATAAATTCAAGTACAACTAAGATTAAATTTCAACACGAACCTCAATTTTCCCTCAAGCGGGGCTTCCACAACCGTAAATTTTTGCCGCGGACATGGTTGACAGGAAAACAGTCTTTCGTTTTCTAAATGCTCTGCAGCTGAAGAAAAAGATCAGTGTCATACCACTTTCATCCTATAATATCCCACACTACCATGCAACATCCCTATCTATCCTATCATATCCCATTCTAACATACAATATCCCATACTATCCCACAATATACCACTGAATATATCCTATGATAACCCAACACCACATTTCAACCTAAAACATCCCATCATATTCTTCCATGCCCTATCTTATCATATAACCTCTTATTCTACCCTTCACCATCCTAAATCATCCAATAAATTTAATTCTTTCAATCATCTTTCTTTCCGAAATGAAAAATTGACTGGATTGATGGTAGCAACGATGGCTTACCTTGCTGTTCTTCATTCTCAGGACGATATATTTCTCCTGCATCGAAAATTCTCTCACCATTTGGAGATTTCTAATTGATGCATAAAATAGAGACAGATTAGTCCCTGTTGTTTGTGATTTAGGTGTGTGAAGATTCTGTAAGCCCTCCCCTGCCCCATTAGGTACAATCCAGGCGTTCCCCACCCAAGTCTTGTCACACATTACACTCACCAGTTGTACTTTAGCAGGACATTTCTGCCCAGGGCCCAACACAATCACATCTCCCTCGACCAGCAGGTTTGCAGGCACATTGACAAGCCTGTTCTTACGGTAGGTCCAAACTAATGAGAGGGAATCTGTACTGGGCGTGGCAAGATGTGGATAGGAAGCGTCAGACCAAGGACAGGACAATCTATATGCTGCCCATGTGAATAACAACAGGATATTTTATGTATCTTATTATACCATCAATGGTCTTTCAGATAGCGGCCCGGGAAAATAAAGTGAAAATTCGCCCTAAGGCTCAAAGGTACAATTGAGACAGTGCCTACCCTTCCAACTTGATTTTCACCCTGGGCTCCTAAATTTCTTTCTCAGGCTATGATATCAACCAGTATGTACCATCTACTAAGACGAATCCTATGAAGCATCGCTCATGTCTTATTCTCACTTTGGCACACCCCACTAAAGCCTTCTCAAAACTGTTCTGTACATCTCACTTACCCTGGCATTGTGTCAAGAACTTGGCAATCTTTTTTGATAGTTCTGTCTTCCTCAGCCTCTCTTCCCTCACGCCAAGAACAATATTCAGAGCAGTTATGGCCACAATTATAGATAGCTCCACCATTGGCAAAGCCTTCCTAGTGTGTGGTTGAATGAAAACTCAGTGCAACACCACATGACATGGCCAGAGAATGGTACCATTCATTAGAGCTGTCTCATAACAATATCAAGCTCAGTAACAATATCAAAGGCTGATGATGGCTCCAAAACTTACAAGCCAATCAAACTTTATGTAACATCTGACTTTTCGCACATGACATCATTGAGAAAGGTCAAATGAGCAACATAAAAAAATGGTTTAATGTTTACTGATAGTGATGAACATTTGTATTCATTCTTTACCTGCTCTCCTGGAAGGCATAGCCTAGAATTATGAGAAATATTTGAAGCAGAACCAGACCCAAAGATATAAAATTGAAAGTTGCGCTAGTGTTTGCCAACATTCTAACAAAATCACGCCATGGTCCGATGTTATTGGCCTGGTTGAACACCGTCAGTTCATGACGGATGATCCCGCAGAAACGTCTGTATGCCTCGTCACAGGACAGACCAACAATCGTTTCATCTCCCTCCTAGGAAAAACAACTGTGGGTGCTGGTCTGGGATGAATATATGAATATTGACCCCAATTAAAACGTTACTGCAAAATGTTGCAAAACTAACACCGTAATCAGCCAAATCTCACATGCAGCTATGCAATGATCTTTGCACAATGCAGAAACCTTGGCACAAAACTAAACGAACAGCTTAGGGCCAGAGGATAACTTTGCATAAGACCTTAGAAAATGCACACTCTGTATTGCAGCTAAATGCAAGGACAGCGAGCGAGATAGTCTAAAAATATAATGTAATAATGGTACAATAACACACAATCTTAAAGTTATCTTTGCATACCTCGTTCCTGAGTTTCTGAACATTTTCCAGTTCAATTCCTTCATCTTCCCCAAACTAGTCAAGACATAAAAAACAAAGAGACATTAGAAAAGTAACATAATTTTAACAAAAGGAACATATTAAAGTGCAACAGTAGTGTACCGTAACAACACTCACATCGCCCGTGCCATTTTCAGAATCACCTAGGCTACCAAAGAGAGGACGCTTTTGCGATTTCGTAGCCATTTACCTCGTGTATGGCTAGGATAAGCTACACTATAACCATTTCTCCAAACATTTCCTAAACTTTTTTATTGTTGATCATTTACTGCACCATTTTTTTTTTGCATTGGCGGCCATATTAAATTTCCAGGAACACTGAGCTATATAAAGCTGAAATGCATTTGATGTAACTGGAATATTAGCAATGCCGGAAAACGGTACAATAAGCCGTTTTCAGGCGGACTCGACCATGGTCGAAAAACCGTATTCCGGCCGACTCGACCATGGTCGAATAGGCCGTTTTCCGGCGGACTCGACCATGATCGTATTTGCCATTTACCGGCGAAATCGACCATGGTCGTATTCGTCATTTTCCGGCGAATATATGACCATGGTCGTATATTTGCCATTTTCCAGCGAATATATGACCATGGTCGTATATTTGCAATTTTCCGGCGAATATATGACCATGGTCGTATATTTGCCATTTTCCGGCGAATATATGACCATGGTCGTATTTGCCATTTTCCGGCGAATATGACCATGGTCGTATATTTGCAATTTTCCGGCGAATATATGACCATGGTCGTATATTTGCCATTTTCCAGCGAATATATGACCATGGTCGTATATTTGCAATTTTCCGGCGAATATATGACCATGGTCGTATATTTGCCATTTTCCGGCGAATATATGACCATGGTCGTATTTGCCATTTTCCGGCGAATATATGACCATGGTCGTATATTTGCCATTTTCCGGCGAATATATGACCATGGTCGTATTTGCCATTTTCCAGCGAATATATGACCATGGTCGTATATTTGCCATTTTCCGGCGAATATATGACCATGGTCGTATTTGCCATTTTCCGGCGAATATGACCATGGTCGTATTTGCCATTTTCCGGCGAATATTACCATGGTCGTATTTACCATTTTCCGGCGAATATGACCATGGTCGTATTTGCCATTTTCCGGCGAATATGACCATGGTCGAGTTAGTCGTTTTCCGGCGAATTCAGGTTACCTTTGGAGGGTTTTTCACCGGGCACTCCGGTTTCCCTCCTTTTCGTTTGGCTTTAAAAACAGTGTCCATGTCTGGGGCCATGATAATCATGTGATTGAGTTTTTGGCTTCTGGGTTCTATTCCCAGAACACTGTCGTAATTCGTAAAGCTAAAAGAATTTTAAGACTGACGTGGTTTTTTATTATTCACAATCAGCTATATACTTTGAATTCCCAAAGGCTTTAATTCGGTATTCCTGCGCTTTACACATAAATTTCAACGCCGTTTTACGCATTTTTGCGTTCAGCTTAGTGCTAGGCAACGTCCATTTTCAGGGGGGAGACTCTGGAGCACTTATAGTGCTATGATAATGATGCCATTCTTAGAGCGATTGAAAAGCAAGTGATCCGATGGATAACGCAACAATCCAGCTTTTGTACAACGGTCCCAGCAATATGATAATTTGTCCAATAGGATTAGTGATTCGTTGTCATGTGACAAGTACGAGGGCGAGGCATTTTCAAAATTTCGTACGTTGTATTTCGCTCTGGTTTGCCGTTTGAGAACAGAATTACTGTAAAAAGTTTAATAAATACATTAAATTTCGTTTTTTAAACTGGGTAGCCTGACAACGAAAAGAGGTATGTTTATTCTTGTGTTTTATTGTAAAGTACTCCACATTCATGGCCTAAAAGTGATTAAATTTCTGTGTTGAATTCGAGCTCGTGTTCGGCCATATTTTAGCTTCGCGCCTTCGCCCGTGTTGAAAAACTTGCGACGTTAATCTTCAGCAATATTTTTTGTTATTGGCAAGAAATGCTTGGATATGATATTCTGTGTGTGATTTAGGTTGAAATGCTTTACAATAGCTGTTAATTTCTGTCGTTTTAGGCTTATAGCGAGCAAAATATATCGCTTACCAAGGCTGTATTCAAGACTGAAAAAGTCAAGTGCATAGAAGGAGTTTTAAATTCATCACTACCTTGCTCAAAAAAAGGTAAAAGTTTCGTGCTTTATTATGTATATTACATTTCCTTTTCTCGTACTTCATTAGTAAAATATGAAATGGTTTTTTTTCCTGTTATTTTTCGTAAAAGACATCGATAAATGTACCGCATGTAGTGACTAGTGAAGCGACGAAAGTGCTTCGCATTAAATAATTCTTACAAAAGAATTTCTGGCGAAAAAGACGCTAATGAATTGTAGAATTTTATTTCGTGGTTGTATATATTTGGTGTAAAGCCGAGAAAGAAATGATTGAGAGTAGTCTGATGCCCTGATTTTATTGATTAAACAATTTTGATTGAAAATACTTGAATTGAAAAAATGCATTTGAAATAAAACAAACATTTACATCACTTATTACACATTAGTTTGCATTTATGACCAACTAAAAATTGGCCAGCGCGCCAGGAACTAGCTGGCATGCAAAATCCAAAGCAAGTTATTATATTTCTCAAAATCTAATATAAAAAAATTATATAAAAATGATACAATATGCAGGCCTAAAAACTTAGCGTGCGGTATTCAACATGGCTGCCATAATTGCGTTCGACGAAGAAGAAGGCATTCTAATTGTATTCTAATCGCATTCTAACTGTGACTCGCGCGGTGTCCCGCGTGGTTCTGCATGCCATTCGATTTTAGACTATGACATATTTTTTAATAAATATACGTAATGTTCTGACAGATTACTGTTCAAATGTGCACAAGTTACAAGGCCAAAAACTGAAGCGGATCCTCATGATGAGCAACTGTGGGACATATCAACACAAATCACTCTTGGCAAATGTCGAAAGAAACAATGGAAAGATAAGTGCATTTACAATATTTCATGCAATATGGTTCATTCTATACCTTTCGTTTCTCTTTCCGGCAGCGTCAATTTTTTCGGTAGCGTCATTTTTTCGGTAGCGTCATTTTTTCGGCAGCGTTCATTTTTTCGGCAGCGTTCATTTTTTCGGCAGCGTCCATTTTTTCGGTAGCGTCCATTTTTTCGGTAGCGTCCATTTTTTCGGTAGCGTTCATTTTTTTGGTAGCGTTAATTTTTTCGGTAGCGTCAATTTTTCGGTAGCGTCCATTTTTTCGGTAGCGTCCATTTTTTCGGCAGCGTTCATTTCTCTACACTTAAGGTCCCCTGTTAACGGCGGAAGGTATGCTGAAATATGCCACTAGTACTTTCTTGTTTGTTAATATGGCTTTTCGTTTCGCTAAATTGCGGCAGCGTTCATTTCTCCAAACGTATAAGTCCCCTGTTAACGGCGGAAGGTATGCTGAAATATGCCACTAGTACTTTCTTGTTTGTTAATATGGCTTTTCGTTTCGCTAAATTGCGGCAGCGTTCATTTCTCCAAACGTATCAGTCCCCTGTTAACGGCGGAAGGTATGCTGAAATATGCCACTAGTACTTTCTTGTTTTGTTAATATGGCTTTTCGTTTCGCTAAATTGCGGCAGCGTTCATTTCTCCAAACGTATAAGTCCCCTGTTAACGGCGGAAGGTATGCTGAAATATGCCACTAGTACTTTCTTGTTTGTTAATATGGCTTTTCGTTTCGCTAAATTGCGGCAACGTTCATTTCTCCAAACGTATCAGTCCCCTGTTAACGGCGGAAGGTATGCTGAAATATGCTACTAGTACTTTCCTGTTTGTTGATATGGCTTTTCGTTTCGCTAAATTGCGGCAACGTTCATTTCTCCAAACGTATCAGTCCCCTGTTAACGGCGGAAGGTATGCTGAAATATGCTACTAGTACTTTCCTGTTTGTTGATATGGCTTTTCGTTTCGCTAAATTGCGGCAACGTTCATTTCTCCAAACGTATCAGTCCCCTGTTAACGGCGGAAGGTATGCTGAAATATGCTACTAGTACTTTCCTGTTTGTTGATATGGCTTTTCGTTTCGCTAAATTGCGGCAACGTTCATTTCTCCAAACGTATCAGTCCCCTGTTAACGGCGGAAGGTATGCTGAAATATGCTACTAGTACTTTCCTGTTTGTTGATATGGCTTTTCGTTTCGCTAAATTGCGGCAACGTTCATTTCTCCAAACGTATCAGTCCCCTGTTAACGGCGGAAGGTATGCTGAAATATGCTACTAGTACTTTCCTGTTTGTTGATATGGCTTTTCGTTTCGCTAAATTGCGGCAACGTTCATTTCTCCAAACGTATCAGTCCCCTGTTAACGGCGGAAGGTATGCTGAAATATGCTACTAGTACTTTCCTGTTTGTTGATATGGCTTTTCGTTTCGCTAAATTGCGACAGCGTCCATTTTTTCGGCAGCGTCCATTTTTTCGGTAGCGTCCATTTTTTCGGTAGCGTCCATTTTTTCGGCAGCGTTCATTTCTCTACACTTAAGGTCCCCTGTTAACGGCGGAAGGTATGCTGAAATATGCCACTAGTACTTTCTTGTTTGTTAATATGGCTTTTCGTTTCGCTAAATTGCGGCAGCGTTCATTTCTCCAAACGTATCAGTCCCCTGTTAACGGCGGAAGGTATGCTGAAATATGCCACTAGTACTTTCTTGTTTGTTAATATGGCTTTTCGTTTCGCTAAATTGCGGCAGCGTTCATTTCTCCAAACGTATAAGTCCCCTGTTAACGGCGGAAGGTATGCTGAAATATGCCACTAGTACTTTCTTGTTTGTTAATATGGCTTTTCGTTTCGCTAAATTGCGGCAACGTTCATTTCTCCAAACGTATCAGTCCCCTGTTAACGGCGGAAGGTATGCTGAAATATGCTACTAGTACTTTCCTGTTTGTTGATATGGCTTTTCGTTTCGCTAAATTGCGGCAACGTTCATTTCTCCAAACGTATCAGTCCCCTGTTAACGGCGGAAGGTATGCTGAAATATGCTACTAGTACTTTCCTGTTTGTTGATATGGCTTTTCGTTTCGCTAAATTGCGGCAACGTTCATTTCTCCAAACGTATCAGTCCCCTGTTAACGGCGGAAGGTATGCTGAAATATGCTACTAGTACTTTCCTGTTTGTTGATATGGCTTTTCGTTTCGCTAAATTGCGGCAACGTTCATTTCTCCAAACGTATCAGTCCCCTGTTAACGGCGGAAGGTATGCTGAAATATGCTACTAGTACTTTCCTGTTTGTTGATATGGCTTTTCGTTTCGCTAAATTGCGGCAACGTTCATTTCTCCAAACGTATCAGTCCCCTGTTAACGGCGGAAGGTATGCTGAAATATGCTACTAGTACTTTCCTGTTTGTTGATATGGCTTTTCGTTTCGCTAAATTGCGGCAACGTTCATTTCTCCAAACGTATCAGTCCCCTGTTAACGGCGGAAGGTATGCTGAAATATGCTACTAGTACTTTCCTGTTTGTTGATATGGCTTTTCGTTTCGCTAAATTGCGACAGCGTCCATTTTTTCGGCAGCGTCCATTTTTTCGGTAGCGTTCATTTTTTCGGTAGCGTCCATTTTTTCGGTAGCGTCCATTTTTTCGGCAGCGTTCATTTTTTCGGTAGCGTCCATTTTTTCGGTAGCGTTAATTTTTTCGGTAGCGTTCATTTTTTCGGTAGCGTTCGTTTTTTCGGTAGCGTCCATTTTTTCGGCAGCGTTCATTTCTCCAAACGTATAAGTCCCCTGTTAACGGCGGAAGGTATGCTGAAATATGCTACTAGTACTTTCCTGTTTGTTGATATGGCTTTTCGTTTCGCTAAATTGCGGCAACGTTCATTTCTCCAAACGTATCAGTCCCCTGTTAACGGCGGAAGGTATGCTGAAATATGCTACTAGTACTTTCCTGTTTGTTGATATGGCTTTTCGTTTCGCTAAATTGCGGCAACGTTCATTTCTCCAAACGTATCAGTCCCCTGTTAACGGCGGAAGGTATGCTGAAAGCTACTAGTACTTTCCTGTTTGTTGATATGGCTTTTCGTTTCGCTAAATTGCGGCAACGTTCATTTCTCCAAACGTATCAGTCCCCTGTTAACGGCGGAAGGTATGCTGAAATATGCTACTAGTACTTTCCTGTTTGTTGATATGGCTTTTCGTTTCGCTAAATTGCGGCAACGTTCATTTCTCCAAACGTATCAGTCCCCTGTTAACGGCGGAAGGTATGCTGAAATATGCTACTAGTACTTTCCTGTTTGTTGATATGGCTTTTCGTTTCGCTAAATTGCGGCAACGTTCATTTCTCCAAACGTATCAGTCCCCTGTTAACGGCGGAAGGTATGCTGAAATATGCTACTAGTACTTTCCTGTTTGTTGATATGGCTTTTCGTTTCGCTAAATTGCGGCAACGTTCATTTCTCCAAACGTATCAGTCCCCTGTTAACGGCGGAAGGTATGCTGAAATATGCTACTAGTACTTTCCTGTTTGTTGATATGGCTTTTCGTTTCGCTAAATTGCGGCAACGTTCATTTCTCCAAACGTATCAGTCCCCTGTTAACGGCGGAAGGTATGCTGAAATATGCTACTAGTACTTTCCTGTTTGTTGATATGGCTTTTCGTTTCGCTAAATTGCGACAGCGTCCATTTTTTCGGCAGCGTCCATTTTTTCGGTAGCGTTCATTTTTTCGGTAGCGTCCATTTTTTCGGTAGCGTCCATTTTTTCGGCAGCGTTCATTTTTTTGGTAGCGTCCATTTTTTCGTTAGCGTCCATTTTTTCAGTAGCGTTCATTTTTTCGGTAGCGTTCATTTTTTCGGTAGCGTTCATTTTTTCGGTAGCGTTAATTTTTTCGGTAGCGTTCATTTTTTCGGCAGCGTCAATTTTTCGGTAGCGTTCGTTTTTTCGGTAGCGTCCATTTTTTCGGCAGCGTTCATTTCTCTAAACTTAAGGTCCCCTGTTAACGGCGGAAGGTATGCTGAAATATGCCACTAGTACTTTCTTGTTTGTTAATATGGCTTTTCGTTTCGCTAAATTGCGGCAGCGTTCATTTCTCCAAACGTATCAGTCCCCTGTTAACGGCGGAAGGTATGCTGAAATATGCCACTAGTACTTTCCTGTTTGTTGATATGGCTTTTCGTTTCGCTAAATTGCGGTAGCGTTCATTTCTCTAAACTTAAGGTCCCCTGTTAACGGCGGAAGGTATGCTGAAATATGCCACTAGTACTTTCTTGTTTGTTGATATGGCTTTTCGTTTCGCTAAATTGCGACGGCGTCCATTTTTTCGGTAGCGTTCGTTTTTTCGGTAGCGTTCTTTTTTCGGTAGTGTTCATTTTTTTGGCAGCGTCCATTTTTCAATTAGACCAATAATTTCTTGTTTAAGTGCCGTTGTACGTTTTCACTAGTTACTGTTGTGTTTTAACAGATTATAACGAAAACAGTAAGAAATCTTATGATGAGCGATCGTGGATCAGGGCATCACAAAGAAGAGCTGTAGAGATTGGCAAATCGTCGAGAGAAGTCGAAAGAAGCATTGAACAGGAAGTGCATTTGACCAGAAGACTGCACTAACATTCGCTCTAAATCAAGATTGCTGAAAGGCCACGTGAGATAAGGGAGGAGCATCTTCATAAAATGCTGATATTTCATCTGGTACATAATTAATATCGTGCAGCATTGGACGTATATACAGAGCGTCCCAAATAATGTCACCGCGTGAGGAAAGTGAGAATTAAACAACTTTTTATGGAAATACAGCGGATATTACAGATGAAATAAAAAGTTAACAATGCTGGCTATAGCATTTCGTTCCAATTTAGCTGCTATCCACTTATATGAATGACGGTGTAATAAACTTTTAACAATTGGAAACGATCAAATCTCAAGTGTATTAAAACGAAATGACTGTAAAGTCAGTTCTCCGTGGCAAACATTTATTCGCTATTACTGAAATGTGGATTTGAATTTATGCTTTATCATGGTTGCTGGGCAGTTCGCAGCTGAACAACCTAGCCTCGTGGTGCTGGAGTCCTAGAAGATAAGAATTAAGTCCACTGTGGCTTGTCTAACGTTGTCAAAACAGTTGCTATACTTGACACAAGCTACTAGCTTAAATCGGAATGCTGGACTTTCTGTATGAGAGCAAGCATCGTAAAAAAACATCACCAAAGTACGACAATCCTTTCAACAAAATCCAAGAGTCAGTGCTTTGGCGTAATCCAACAAAAATGTCAAAGTCCCACGTGATCCAGCACGACGTGTAGCATTTTGCACATGGCTCAGTTGTGCAAGGAGATGCTCACTTCTGGCCTAACCTTGTCATCGGCGATGAAGCATCATTAAAGCCTGATTCTCATATGTCACCGACGGTCGGCGATGTATTGTTTGTGGTCTTTAACGAAGAAGATTCAGCATACAAAATAACAAAGATTCAATATGAGAATCAGGCTTAATGAATGAACGTGTGTTATCGCAACTTGGCGTGGAAATCCAAATCAACTGATGGTAAAAGTGAGTTATATAATTGCTTTACTAACAGGTAATCAGATATTTATGAAAGCGGGGATTCTTGTCTCATGCATGTCCCAAATACTTTTAGCCGGGGTGAATTTTATCCATGAATGAACAGCAGTTCGATATTTCATTAACAGTAGAGGAATATGTTCGTCCTAGTCTCGTCGATGTTCTTTTACGAACAATGATAGTTGATATTTCACTGTACGATTGTACTTTTCCACCATTCTATCTGATTCAGGGTGTAATGGAGTTGTCCTAGTTTTTACGATCTCCAATACTTACACATTTCTTTAAACAGAGCGGATTCAAAATTAGTTTCCTGGTCGGAATTTAGGTATAGCATTTGGTAGCTATATTAAATCTACAGAAGAAGTTGTCGCGTCCAGCCGCAAACGATGTCTTTTCAAAAAGAAATACAATAAACTCCCCCGCCCCCCATAGTTTGCTTCGAACATGCGCAGATATTAATTAACGCCTACATGTGCCTAACATACATTCACAACAGGGCCGGATTAACCTTTTGCGGGGCCCGTGGCATTTCTTTAGCGCAGGGCTCCTCAATTGCGTAAAGCATGCATCAAAGCGTTTTCTCAGGGTCGCCCAGAGAATTTTGAGGACCTGGGGCAAAATTCTCGTTCGGGGACCAAAATGCCGCTTTTCTGCCGTTCACTTCTTCACTAGAACTGGAGAGTGTTTCGCATTGATATTCTTTTTGCCTGCACCACTTTTCTCTGAGCCGTTGCATTACAATAAGTTGAGTAACACAAGTGAGAATTAGATTTTTATTAATTAATAAGATATATATTCTACCGTAGTTGTAAGTGCACGTGCTTTGAACAAGATTAATTCAGAATGTGTACAGCCTGACTACATTCTATCGTATTGATAAGTTTCTAAAAGTTTAAAGTATATTGGGTAGTGAGTGCATGATTAAAATATAATAGATATATATTGAATAGTCATGCATGTTCAAATGATGAAGAAAGACTATCATAGTTCATTGCAGTCAAAACAACTCTAAGAGTGAACATATGTTTTAATCTAATATATTAAATACATGCATGCATATAATGATATCTAAATATGATATATATGAGGGATACACTGTGTGCAAACTATTTAAAACACTTTGCTAATATATAAACATAGTTTCTCGTAACTCAAGTGCAGATGATATAAAAGTCTTGACGCATATCCAGAGCAGCCTGGCAATTTTCAAACGGACATTTCACACGATCTAGCTGTGTTCCGCAATATGCACAATCATGTAGCCCCGACACACATCCAGAGGAAGAAACGTTAAATCCAGCTCGTTCCACGATCGATCCAGGCAAAATAACCCTGTCATAAGTTGTTGCGTTATATTTCCAAGAACACGCATCCAATTTCGTAGAAATTTGTCTTGACGCGTAAGGTTGGCGTGAATAACTTTTGCAGAACATTTTGTATTCTTGACACCAATTTTCAGTTTTTGATTGTTTGTGTAAAGGGATTTTGACTTGAGCGACCAAAAATGACGCCTCAAGCCAGACATTCCGTACCTGTTGGGTTTCAAAATTCGTCTTCACTTCTTCATCCAATGAAGCACATATTGCGTAGAATACTCTGCGCTGATTGGCTAAACACGATTCACAATGTGGCGTCTTGAAAACTCTGCTACAATTCTGAGAGCTGCATGCTCGTAGAGAATAAATATCATTTTTAGTCGCGTTCTGAAAACCAGCAAGATGGACAACATTTAGCAAGGAGAGAGTGCTGGATCTCTCTAGATCATAAATACTGGAGTACTCTATACTGCATTCACGATGTGATTGGTCAGTTAAAGGCCTCAGGTTATGCGCATGGCATAACCGTTCGTAGTCACGACACCAGCTTTCAAATCTCGATAAACGGTGCTCTGGAATGCGGACTTTCACGACTGCATACATCGTGTCATTTGAAATCACTGTCTTGTTTTCAAGGACATAGAAGTTTGAAGTGGGAGTGTTCTCAACACACAGTCCGTGAATCTTCTGAGATTCGCTGTTGAGGCAAAGCAATGAATCACTGCAGTTGTATGAAAACGGGCTACTTTGACAGCTTTCCTGCGAGCAATCTTTGAATGCAAATGTGTTTCCATATGCAGCCTCGTTGTAGCCTGTCTGCTGAGCAATGTGATGTATCACATCAAATTCAGATTTCTGTATAACAGCATCGTGCTCATCACGACATTGAAGAAGAGATTCGGTTACCACACCAGAGTGAAGAGCAACAGGACTTTGCCCAATAGCATGACAGAGCTCCGTATAATCCCGACACCACGTCGACGATCTACGCTCGGGTTGTAACGCTGATACGACTGTGTAGACATCGCCAGAGATGGAGATTTTCTGTGAATCCATTATTTTGAAATTTAACGTTTCGTCTGTGCAAATTGCGTAGACATAATCAGTAGGGTTTGAATTAACACAGGATAATGATGCATCACACCCAGATGATGCCAGCTCTTTTGAACAACTCTCACAATTGTTTAAGATGAACGTGTTGCTTTGGTCTGCCTTAGAGTATCCAGCCTGTAAGGCGATATTTGAGATGGTTTTTGTATCACACGAAAACTTGAAGTCTTCAGCAGCATATTTTCTGGTGCATTCTTGATAGTTGTTTTGACAGGCTAAAGGTCTTTTATTGTAGCTTTTACATAAGTCTTTATACTCTTGACACCAGGAAACCGACTTTGCGCGGCCGTCTTTAGGCAGTTTGGCTTCGATGATTAAATAGTTAGTGGAGTTAAGAACAGTAACTTTTGTACTGCGGACGTTGAACGCCGTCGTTGGTTTAACACACACTGTGTATACTTGTCGTCGCCAAGCTATTTTGGTCAGGCAGTTCAAAGCACCATTGCATTCGCTGGTTAGATCCTTTGTACACTGATGACAGTTCTGGAAAACAAAGGTGTTTCTTGATATCGCATCTTTAAATCCTGCCTTGTTTGCGATGCCGATGACGACCGTCGTATCTCCACAACGAAGAATATCGTTTTCTGGCATTATAAGAGCTGTATTGTGTACTACAGGATGAATAATTTGAGTGCTCGGCATTAGATCCTCCACAACTGGTCGGCAGCATATTATAGCTTACACAAAGTTCTCTGTAATCGTGACACCATGGTCGTATTTAGTGTTTTTGAAAATGTTTTGAAAACATTTTTTATTAAAATGTTTTGTTTATTTTGTTTTAGTATACGCCGTTTTCCTGCGGACTCGACCATGGTCGAATAAGCTGTTTTCCGGCGCACTCGACTATGATCGAGTAAGCCATTTTTCGGCACATTGAACCATGGCCGAACGCCGCTTTCCGGCGGACTCGACCGCGGTCGAATAAGCCGTTTTCCGACCGACTCGACCATGGTCGATATAAAACGCGCTTGTTTTTGGGTTAAAATTTTGCTCCGACAATTTTGGGTATTTTGATGGTAGATAGCGTTCCAGCTGTTTTGAGTTCAACGGTCCGAACACGACAAGTCTTTTTGGCAGGGGGGAGTGAGAACTCTAAAGTCTAAACGAAACAAAATGTCTGCCGAAAACAGGCTTTTGTCAAAGTTTAGTGTTCTTCCTGTGGACAAATTCGAGGGAGAATGTCCTTATTTCCGACAACCGAAGCAAGTGGGTTGCTTCTCTTTAGACGAGCAACGAAGATTTCTGGACAACGACAGTCGGCTAAGGTATTACAACCCACCAGAATTTGTGAACTTTGATCTAGGAGTGGGATATGAGGATTTTATACGCAGAGACGAAGATAAGAAAGATAGACTGGATGACATGTTAACGTGGGTTAAAAAGCACCCTGAGAAGTTTGCATTGAGTGGAAATACCTCGAAAAACGACGGCAGGTAAAAGACTTGCTATATTAAAATTATTAAAGTGACAAAAGTTGATGAAAATTGTAAAGGCAGTCTCGTATAATTGTATCAGTTTTCGTCAACTTTAGTCTTTAGACTGGGGGTATAGACCTTTCTTATAATGACGTCAAACGCGGAAAGTCTGATGTTACACGAAATTTGACTGGCTCCTCAAAACTATCGGGCCAATCAAACTTTGTGTAACATCACAGAGTTTCAGCGTTTGAGGTCATTATGAAAAAGATCTATTCTGTTAATACCATGTTACGTAACCCATAAGTTAGTATACTCTCACTTCTCAATTAGTCTGCATACAGATTTTATCACATGGAGAGGACACATGACCAAGCTCCTGTGTACCCCTTATGAGAGAAAGGAACCATGGCAAATGGCTCTGGCCTTGCACAAAGGCACAATTTATATGAGCGAAGTTGAAACGAACGAAGCACGCCATCGTAGGCTGGACCAATCGGAACGTCAGGACAAAATGTGTTACTGGGGTTACAAGTTTGAGGATTACGTCACTTGTTCCAGGGAGCCATCAAAACCGAAGGAATTTAGCTCGCCCATAAACAACATTGAAGCATTCTGTTCGGTTGTGAGATCACGGTTGGATAAACACTCTTTGGTCTTTGGAGCCGAGGTTGACTGTTGTGTCAAAACTAATTCTAAAGGTGGGATGCCACCATCTAATTATATTGAATTGAAAACAAGCAGGATTGTTGAGAACGACCGGATGCAGTGGTCATTTGAACGATACAAGCTTTTGAAATGGTGGGCACAGTCTTTTTTAGCCGGCATTCCTAAAATCGTTTGCGGATTTCGTGATGACGATGGCTTTGTTAAGCAGCTCAAGACATTCAATACGCTAGACATTCCAGGATCGGTTGCGGAAAGTCAGAACATGTGGGCAGGTAGCGTGTGTTTGAATTTTTGTAATCGGATGTTGGAATGGGTGAAAGGTGCCGTAAAAGATGAGAATGTTGTGTACATGTTACATTGGAGAGAACCATTCACGCACATAGAACTGGAGTTGTCAAAGAAACAAGATGACATCTTTCTACGGGACTGGTATCTCTCATGAAGAATCTACCCTCATGTATATATATTTGAGACCAGAATTTTTTAAGGTTACGAATTTTAAGATATTTATAATGAATATAATGATAGTGACAGTGTTTTGTGTCAATAAATTATTCTTAATATAATTGGGAAATTAGATTACACCTGTAAATATTTGTCATTCAAAATGTAAACATATTTAATCATTCTGTATTCATGTACACTCTTAAATTTTGTTCCCATCGTTTGTCTTTCTCTTGTTTTTGAATAAGATTTCTCTTCCAGGTTCTTCGGGGGGCTCTCAACCCTGTGCTTCCCCCGCATCCTTTTTCCCTTTCACAGCGCTCGTATCTCTTGCTGAGAAATGAGTGATCTTTGCTTTTTCTTTGTTTTTGCTGCCTAAGCCCTGGCGATCTTGCTTCAAAATTGTTTTCACAGGAAACTTACGGCCAGCTCCTTCCGGGCCAAGACCTTAAATGAATGTTGGAAACAACAACAAAACAGTAAGTGTTAATTTCTGCTAAATTTAAGATGAAAAAGGGGGAAAATGTCCTCTTACGCACAGCTAGTGGACTGATTAAAGTATTAAGACTAATATTTTCAACCTTGTTCTTTATCCCATCCCTTCTGTTTCATCAATTTGAATCCAATGTTAGTTTCAGGAATGTGATAGAGTGTTCGTTCTGACTTGTATTGGCAGTTAAACAAATGAGCTGTTGATGTATTGTGCTCATTCTTCGAGCCAAAGAAAGTGGTTGCACAAATGTCACAGGTATGTTCAGTGGAAGTTGTGAGTTCAGCATTATCTGACTTTTGTTTTCGTCTGGATTTTCTAAGGCGGTCAAACAACCTACGAACACCAGAATGCTTTGCAATGTCCCGAGCAGTTTCACCCTTGCTGTTTTGCAATTTGACATCAGCACCTTCTTTAAGGAGTAGCTTGATGCAAGTTCTATGACCGCTTCTTGCCGAACACATCAAAGCCGTCCAACCAAATTGATCCTTGGCATTTATATCAACTTTTTTGTCCCGAATGATTTCTTGTAATCCACTAAGGTCTCCCTCTTGTGCCATTCTAAGAAATGAATTCACTTGTCTAATGGTACATCTATCAGTCAAATTCCATTTTGTTTTATTGTTTTCAGAAGGCGTATTTACATCCGTTGTTTTCCTTTTAAAACGTTTTTCCACTTCAATATCTGCCTTATTTACTCTCTTAGCATTTCTCACACAAGTTTCGTTTTTTTCCATAAGCAAACTTTCGTAAAATTCCTTGGCTTCAACCCCAGATAAACCTCCGTTATCATTCAATGAGGTATCGCTCTTCTTCACCGCACTAAAGGTCTCCAAATTCGACGAAGCCCGCTGAAATTTTACCGAAGGATACATCAATCCTCCCTTTTTGCGTTTCATTACGATAAGTCGTGTTTGGTAGCCGAGAAACCCTTCAAAATCAAACTTTTCGATATGTTTACAAAAATTCCACTCCTGAAGAAAAGGCCATTTTGTTATCGGAGGAGAGAAGTTGTGAATTCCTTTTGACCGAAGATTGAGATTTCCTTGATTTTCTTCATCAAAAAAGTTAGAATATTGGAGATTGTTTTGCGATATTCTCTTTTTTAAGGAAAATGATAAGATTTCCTGTTGCTTCGTAGACAGGTCGTTCACGTTCGTAATGGTGCTTCCTGTGATGGTGCTAAAAATCAATTCTTTGAAAAGAGGTCGAACGTGGCAGTTATTGAGGCGTCACAATTTGTGTTCATAACCACAGAAATAACCACGACTCATTCTCATACCCAGAGCCCTTCTTAGTTACGCGCCGTCTGTCTAAAGCAATATGGCGGACAATGCCAGTTCAAGGGTGAATATTGACAACATTAAAGTAAAGGTTTTGGGAGAAAAGAAAGGGAGATACGATTTGGATAGTTTGCCAAGGCTAAAATACAAAAAAAGAGATAAACCCAAGTATAAGAGAAGAACGAAAGCAAAAGTCGTTTTAAATTTATACAGTGAACTGAGTGAAGTAAACGAACCCAGCGATTTAGATGTTGAGACTACTGAAAAGGAAGCTATTGTAGCAGGTTGTGATCAAAATATTGACAAAATCGTCCGTGACCACCAAAATACCTATGCTGATGTTACCGACACGCTTGAGGTATTAATTACAACGAGTACTTCACAAACACGTAGTATTTACATGTACAAATGTTCAGCAAACTCCAGGGCAGGCTATATTATCGATCACAAATCAAATAATCAATCCCACATTGCAGAGTTGGCCAACGCCGCACCCGAGATTTTTGATGAGGAAAATTTTAGTGCACTTAGGGTGTGCTTGATAGCAATTTTGATACTTTAATCAGCCTAAAAAACTCTTATTTCCATTGCATTTAACATTTTCAAAGTGTCTATATTACTGCCAGTCGGTCAGTAGTTTTGTGCTTCAAAATTTTTTCACTATTTGATTCATTTTTACGAATGCTTTTAGCGACGGTTGGTTCTCGTGGCGTAGTGGTCATTGTGCTTGCTTCGCATGCGTATGGTCTGGGTTTGAACCCTGTTCAGATATTTTTATTAAGAAAATTTTCAAACTATTTTTTCTGAGTGAATTTCTCATTCTAAACTTAGGTTAGCTTTAGGGTTAGATTTATGGTTAGGGTTAAAATTTGGGATTGGTTTGGGGCTTGTTTTATACAAAAAAGTTCAATATTATAGACTGCCGGTCACTTAGTTTCTTCAAAACATTGTCCAGCTGCCGGTCATATAGACACTTCGTAACATGTTCCCCCTCACTTTACCAGACTGCAAGTTTTATTTTCTTGCAGGAAATTTTAGGGTTATGTTTTGCAACTACGCAGAAATTATAGGAGAACGTACTGAATAAATGAAAAATTATTACATATTGGTACCCAATGTTGGGGAAATACAGTATATTTACCATGTTATTGAAAATTTTTTTAATGCATGTGGTTCTTTATTCTTTCATAAGGATATTTATTAAATATTTTTATAGGATATCACTTCAAGTGATTTATTACACTACTCTCAACCCATGGATACTTCACAAGCAGTTGTTTGTCAAATAAGTCACCAGGATACTTATGTTGTTGAAGTATGTAGATCAAATGCTTTACTACCTGTCAATACAATGCTAACTGCTTTTGTACTTCAAGACTATGATGAGTTATTAAGACAGTTAAAGGTACTGTATTATATTATAATAATAATATATATAATATATAAGCAATTGTTGTACAATTGGTTCTTTAGTTAAATGCCTAAAACAGATAAGAAAACATCTCAACATTTTGACCTAAGGGCCTTCGTGTAGGAACTAGTGTGGAAAAGCTGTCATCAATCTATAACATAAACTTGATGTATGATTAAGTTGATTTCCTTACAGTAATATCGTGAAAAGAGGTGCCAGACAAAAGATGTTTGCATGCATTTTTTTTAGCCTGTGTGCTCTTTCTGGAAAAAATGGGGTAAAATGGGCAAATCTTCTATAGCATGATTGTGACGTTAATTATATTTCTCTATTTCTAGAGTAAAGATTTTCTTTTAATTCGGAGAAGTTTGCACCATTTCATCAATGGAACTGTGAATTGGGTGTATCAATGTTCATGTAATCCTGCCAGGAGTAAAATAATAAACTCACTTCACATCAGTATTAAAGAACATTACAATCAACGTAAGTGCTTATTTGGTCTGACGTGATTGAAAGTGACCTGAAATTGACTCTAAATACCCTTACAACTTAGTGCCACTTATTAGTATGTAGTTATGAAGTTGTTTGGGTGAAGTGAAAGTTTGATCTCAGGTTTGAACTTCAAACACATCTATTAAATGTTTCATTGGCATGGATTAGTGAAATATAATTTACTTTTTGAAGAGCTCACTTGTTGAACGAATATGAGCAAATAGTTCAGATCCAGGGAATAAAATTATGACAAACCATTATAAACTCTTAACTTTTATCCTATTCAAATATACTCTCATTAAAACATTAATTATTAGCATATACTTTAGGAACTATTAACCATTTTTTTCTTAATTTACTAAATGATAGAACTATTGGCTGACAATCCAGCATGTGTACATTGCTTGGTGACTGAGCGTATTTTAGACAGCCTTGAATGTTTTAATGGCAGTCTTCCATTTCCTATTGATCCAGAAGGTACAGTATATATATAAATATATATATAAAATTATGTTTAAATGTGGCATTGTTAAAGCTAATTCTAGCATATCTATTTTTTAACATTAACTCTGTTTAGAAAGTGACCCTTCATCAATGGACCATGACTATCTTGTGAGTATGGCTTAAATTTCATGCAAATTTACTTATTAAGGCTTTCATTGTTGAGAATTATTGATACAGCTTTGCTAGCATTTTAAATTGGCCTTAACTGGTCACATAATTTTGCTGTTTTGCTAGGTGTCCTTTGTCTATAAATGCTTTTTATTTCGTTCGTCAGGAACATTACCAGTCTTACAACGTTTTCCATTTGCCGTCAGTTGAAGTAGTTTGCGTATATGCTGAGCGTGATTACGGGTTTGTTGGCATAGATCATAAGGGTTTCAAGTGCTCCACATGCAATTATGATACACATGCTTGTAGTCACATCAAATTTCTGGAAGAAAAACTCAGTCAGGATGATGTTGATTTGCCTGACATTGTGTATGAAATGTATCACCAAGCAAAAAAGCAGCGGAAAGTTAATTGGAAACCTTATTGCCTATCCGATAAATCCATACAGTTCCAGCCACCAGTACACCTTCAACAGATATTTGGTAGTTCGTTTTACCAATCCCTACCACAGGAAAATGGAACATTGCATGTTGTCCCACGTAGTAGCGGAGTATGTGAAAGTTGCGGTTCCTACTGGAGTTTGCAAAACCCTGTCGAAGAAAATTGGATAGAGAAACTTCTTCTCCTTTATACAATGAATAAAGTTTATCCGTGCACCAGTATGTATGCTCCCACCCTACTTCACTTTTGTTTGCATACACTGTACATGT